GATACATTCTTCCTTGGTAATGCATTTGGTGTGTTCACCTCACTCATGGCTTCATTTTATTTTTTTCCTACTTATATTTCTGTTTGTCCTAATTCCATCATTTATAAAAATGATTTTAAAAGTATTTCTATAAGTTACCTTAAGATATTTTTGAACAAAGTAGGAAAGAATGTAGTCTTATATGTTCTGAATAGTTGAGGGCAAACAGTAGATCCAAAAATGATGAATGACTGGATACCCATTCACAGCATCTCCCCTAGATGACATCACATGGGGGAGCCTATGGGAAACATCCAGAAAGAATGGAGTGGGCTGACACTATACAGACTAACAATCTGTAGAGCTAAGTATACCCTATATCTATCTATCTATCTATCTATCTATCTATCTATCTATCTATCTATCTATCTATCTATCTGGCTAATATGCTAAGTGTCCGATAGTCCGACTGGTCGCTATGACACACACTGATCACCAGGGGCAGAAGCTCAACGCAGGAGCTGCCGAGCTGCAGTGATTTGGCAGCGGTGGTTCTTGGGTGACGCACTCTGAAACCAGAGAGGAGGGAGCCTGATTCCTCACGGGGCTGCGTGATTCCACCTTCAGCCGTGGGTTATGTTGTTGCTGGTTACTGCACACTTGTGTTTGCGTTACACACCGTGTACAACAGCAACTTTGTACTCAGGGACCTCTCGGGGGATGATCCCCACAGGCCAGACCAAGGGACCCCACCTGCTGGAGGGACTCCCGCTCACTCTGCAGATGCTGGGGAGGGACTGCGGGAGATTGGCTCCAGGGAGTGTCTGGCCCATCTCACCCAGTCGCGTCCCACCAGCCACCTTCTAATTAATTTCTTTTCAATGTGCACGAATCCATATACCAGGTCATTAGTATAGCTATACTAGCTTAAAGATAACAATCTTAACAGTACCTTTAGAAAGGAATTATATTTTTTGGGGGAAGCTTATGTAGAACAAGGCAGATAATGTCTCTCTGTTTTCATGAGAATATATTCTAGTAAGAGACAATGTTATATGTCAATCAAAAACAAGCAAGAAAATTATAAAATTTTATAGGAACTTTTCAGGAAATAAACAGCTATTTATAAGGGAGAATAAAATTTTAGGGAGGGTAGGAAAAGAAGAGGAATCTAGCTAGGGGAGTTATGAAAGACCTCCCCTGGGAGACATTTGAGCTGAGACGCAGGAAACAAGGGGTTGACTCTCTGATTAAGTCAGGAGAAGAACTTCTCGGCTCAGATACTTACTGTTTTCCAACTCTAAGTACAGAGACTCAGAATCAGAAAGAAAGTGGCATATTTGGGAAAACTGAAAGGAATCCAGGACAGCTAGAGCGCAGTGATCCTTAGGGACTGAGAAAGCGGTGTGAGATAAAGCTGGAGTGGGAGGATAAGTCAGTTCCTACAAGTCCACAAGGAGTTTGATTTTCTTCTTTTGTATTTGTATTTCCAATTATAATTAGAAGTCTTTGAAGGTTATGTTTTGTATATGTGTTTTGTTTGTTTTGTTTTTGTTAATTCTCACCTGAGGATATTTTTCCCATTGCTTTCAAAGAGAATGGAAGGGAGGGAGAGGGAGAGAGAAATATTGATGTGAGAGGGACATATCAATTGGTTGCCTCCAAAAAAGCTCTAACCGGAGGCAGGAGCAAACCTGCAACCCAGGTACCTGCCCTTGACCAGGTATCAAACCTGTGAGCCTTTGGTGTGCAGGCTGATTCTCTAACAACTGAACCACACAGGCCAGGGCTCTTTGAAGGGTTTTAAATAGCAAAGTTATATAATCTGAGTTAACATTTTAAAAACCTTTAGAAATACAAGGCTGCTGCCAGGAGAATAAATGATAAGGGAGAAAAACAGCTACAGGAAGAGCAATCAGAAGACAAGAAAGGTGGTGAGAGGGAAAGATAGAGAAACAATGGGACTTGATAGTGGACTAGGCCTGGGACATGAGGGAAAGTGAACAATCAGGAATAAGTCATAGGCTGTTAAAACAAGCAAACGGGGCAATGGTATTATAATTTACTAACATGTAAAAGAACTAAGATGGAATAGGTTAGGGGACTGGAAGCGTGGGGGGCTAAATTAAGTTTTAGTCTGGACACGCTAAACTAAAGATGTTCAAAGACAGTAAAAAAGCAGTGTCCTCTAAGCCACTGCACATAGGAGTCTGGGACTCATCCACTTGGAGGAGATATTTAAAAGGTTATGGGAACCGACATAGTCGTCCAGGGATAGATCACTGATAGAGAAGAGAAGCCGGACTACGGGGTTCTACAGAAGAAGAAACATCAGCACTGAAAACCACCGTGAGAGTTGGTAGTCAGGGTACATAGGCAAAAGTGGTGTCAAAATGCCAAGAAAGTTTCGAGAAAGAAAGGAGCAGCAGACTTAAATGCAACTGTGTCAAAAGTTCGAGTAAGTACTAACTGAAGAGTAGACTTTAAATTTGGCAAAATGGAAGTCACTAGTGACTCTGACAAAGGTTTCCGTGGGAAAGGGGGCTGAAAGGCAGATTGGAATTATTGGATAAATAAGTAGAAGATGGTAAGAAAAGAGAGATAATATGTATGAGTGGCTATTTTGAAGACTGATTTAAAAGAAGCAAAGTTATAAGGCTGAAAGGGAATTGGAATAATTAAGAGAAGAATTTTTAAAGAGAGGGGATAATAATAACAGAGCATGCTTGAGGCCAAAAGGAATAATTCAGGAGAAAAGGCAATAATGATGCAGGAGAGGGAGAAAAGGGAGGTTCTGGGAAGGAATGGCAGCGTCCTTTCATAGGAGCATCAATGGGAGTGCCGAAGCTGGAAGGTGGTCAGCTGGGGGTGGGATGAGGGCAAAGGGGAGGGTAAAAGTCTGAGAGAGAGGAAGGTGTAGAATAACAGTCTGGAGCAAACACTGACGTGTGTGGTCATGACCTTCCTCACTATTGCTCAAGAACTCAGCTCTGTCTAAGAGAGAGTGAATAATTAGGTTCAATCAGAGAAGGAATTTTGCCAGGCAAGTTTTCACATTCTCAATGTCCCTATCCTTCACCCCAGCAAAAGTGACAGGAAATGCAAGGGACATGAGGGAAGAGCATAAACCTTCACAGAAAGAAGTCTACACAGCAAGGCAAGAAGCACACTTTTCGTTTTCTCTATTTCTATGCAGGGCAGTAAGAGAAATTATGGCTCAAAGATGATGCTCCCACCCACTCCATGAACAAGTCCCACCATTACAAACCTTGGTTCTGAACTTAAGCGTCCGTAAGAGATTGGGAAACAAAGGAAGACATTAAGTCCTTATGGTTAAAATGTTGGGTTCTGGGGTAATGAAAGGCCTACTGTCAAAACAATTATAAACATAATCCATAGATGTTACATCTAACATCAAACACTTTCCTCAATAGCAAAACTATCTTGATAACATAGAAATATTCCAATTTTCCATGATGTAGTCAACCAAAATTCTTTCAATAATCTACCAGTTAAAAATATTTCCTTACTTTTCTTTGAAAAATTTATAGGCAAACTGCCAAGTGATCACATGGTCATCACAAAGTTTTTCTAGTTCAATGACCCACATGACTAAAGTATTTAATATATTTAACATAAAAGGGATTAAGCAATTTAAAATGTATTATTAAGATGTGTTAAGTAACTATGACAAAAAATAAAAAATAAACTCCACACTAAGTACTTTTCTCAGAAATAACTGTAATGAGTTGAGATGCATTGGAATGTGAACGTGACCTAAGGAGTCTTCTTGTTAAGTTTTTCTGATAACTTACAAATGACTACAATACTGAAGAATATTTCCAAGAATGTTATCACTTTAAAAACTCTTGTTTTTACCAATTTTACCTGCTTTGAAAAGCAAGTTTTAACTGATTCTGTCCCTATTTCCCAAACTCTCCAAAATATTTTATTTTTCCATATGTTGGAATGCTATGTGGATTAGAGAATGAAAAACCAGATTTTATATCTTAGCTTTATTTTACTACTATAGATAAACTGAGCATATTGTTAACAGTTACATAATTAGTTCTGGCTTCCATTCCCATAGAAACCTAAAATGAATTCATAAAAATGGGAAATATTGATTTAAAGTGCTTAATTTTAAAACACCCCATATTTGGTGATCTGGCATCCAATTCAGAGAACAAAAATACAGTGACAGCTTGGCAGTTAGACTGTTAGGAAATTTTATCAGTTTCAGCTTAGGCCTGCCAGTTGTACCTCCAGGTGCTAATATTTTGGTTATATGTCAAGTAAAATGGTTCCTTAGAAAAACCCAAGGAAAAAATCTTACCAGTTATTATAAATAATACAGGCCACAGTTTGAAGGAAAAATAAATTGAACACAAGGAGTTATATACTGAGGAAATAGTACTTTAACAGAATTTAGAAGTTAACTTTTCCCCTAATATCAAGCATCAAAAAGGCAAGGAATAGTTTAAACAACTTTTTTTAAAAGTAAATATAGAAGAAATAATTCTTTTAGTTAATTGTACTGTATATGTTGCTGACAACAGATCACATCAAATCACTATACAGAATTATTAAAAATGCTTCATGATTTAAAAAAAATAAGAAAAAATATAAATACAATAGAAACAATAATAATCAGTGCTATATTTTTACCATTACTTTAATAAAGACTTACAACCAAATAGGTTTAGAAACATTTTGGTCTATAATGGCCTATAATCTTTAAGAGAGTGTATTAAACTAAGTGTATTAAATTGTACCCTATTTTTATAAAACTCTCTTATGTAAATGGAAGATTCCTGCTACTTATTAAAATTCATGCAGATTAGGCACATTGGAATTTCATGTTTTGGTTATATGTTCACATATTACGTGTCATTTAGATCATTTGCTCCAGCAGGGATAAGGCAATGTGACTTAGTATCTTTCCAAACAGTCCCTAGAGAATGATCATGATCAGAAACCATCAGACGACCCACCGCTTATTTAAAGAGTAACATCCTCACCAGACTGATGATGTGTGTGCTGTCCAGACGCCTCGGCAGATGGCCTGTGCTCACTGTCTGGAGAGGACAGCAGAGAAGTAGAAGGTGGGCTTCCTGCAGAAGACGCTGCGGAGTGGGCCATGGAGGACGTGGAAGGTTGTAGAAACTGCTCAGCTGGAGTGTCTACTTCCATCACAGTGTCACCCGTTTCCAAAACAGAGCCTGACGGGACCGTAGGAAGAGTCGAAACATCTGACTGACTCGTCCCACCTTCAAAAAGCACATGTTAATGCAAGTTCAAATACTAAATGCTTTCCAAAGCCAACCACTCAGAAGAGGTATGTTCAAGCACACTTGCTTACACACACACACACGAACATATAATATACAGGAAAATCAAAAGCACCCACTGGTAGTTTGGGCCATTTGACTAGGCTAGTCAATAGAGGTAAACATCTATCTATAGCACATTCTTATTAAAAATAATCATTCTTTTAAGCAAAATACTTCATATGGCAGCTTCATTTAGACAAAGCTACTAGTAAATAACTTGTGAGATTCCTAGAAACACTGCCTAGTTCCTCAAATTTAAAGATGATGATTCCTTGTGGAATCTAATGAACAAAATGAATTGACCAACAAAATAAGACTCAAGGCAGGGAGGCATGGAACAGACTGACATACCTCGATATGGGATTGGGGAGATGAGAAGAGATAAACTGAAGAATTTATATACTTATACGCATAAAACATGGACATGGGCAACAGGGTAGTAAAGATCTGAAGGAGAAAGTAGGGACTGGAAGGAAGGGGGGAAGGGAGAAAATAGGATATATCTGTAATACTGTCAACAATAAAAGTATATTATAAATAAGTAAATAAATAAGGTGATGATTCCGATGCAATAGTTGGATAATAATAGAATAATGGGTTTATACTGAGATATTTCCACTCTATAACATAATGTCCTTGGTAAAATATTTAAGATATTTAATAAAAAATTTTATTAGCAAAAAAAAAAAATTATTAGCAAGAATAAAACAACAAATAGGCCAGGATAGGATTAAGTTCTTTATTTTTCCTTCAAACTGTCGCCTGTACTTAATATTTCACTAGCCATGTTTTAACCACTAAACTAACATGATATAGGCATGATTTTAAAGGGTTTAAGTGTCCATTATGTGCTGTTAGGCTTCCTGCTATCTGCAAAGGAATAATTTAATTAATACTCAATCAATATTAAAAATTTTTCCTTCAAATCTAGATTTTATTAAAAATGGAGTGGACAAACCAAGTTCATGCTTTGCAAGATACAACTACCACAGAATGTTAAGTTTTTTCTAATTACCATGATTTAAATATTTCTTAAATTTAAGCACAAATTTAGTAACTCTTCAGCAAATCCACAGTCCAATGAATTTTTTTTAAATGTATTTTTATTTATTTCAGAGAGGAAGGAAATGGAAGAGAAAATTAGAAACATTAATAAGAGAGAATCATTGATTGGGTGCTTCCTGCACAACTCAGGAATGTGCCCTTGACCAAAAGTGAACCTGGAACCCTTCAGTCCATGGGTCCATGCTCTATCCATTGAGCCAAACCAGCTAGGGCCCAAGGAATTTTTTTTTTTAAAGTTAATTGATCTGCATGATTTAACAAAATCCACTTACAGATAAAATTCAATACAAATCTTTAATTTGGGGATTTAAAATGTTTAGGAGTTAACTTTTATATGCCCACTTTTGAGAGAGATAAGTAACTTGACAAAGACCACAAAGCTGGAAAGTAGTGAACAAAGGTATGAAAACTGGTCAGCTAACACCAAAAAAGTAATTAATAACCAGTATATATGTAACCAAAAGTAGAAACTATTCAATTATATAAAACATATTTATTTACAGAGTTTTATATATTTCTACTTTAATAAAAAAAAAAAAAAGGTCTTAAATGGGGACTATCAGCTGCTCTTACTTTTTTTTGAGAAAAGCAAAAAATAAGGGCTAGAACTAGTGGAACCTGAAGGGACCAGTTGTACCTAATGCTCTCTCCCTCCCCTGCTTCACACAACAGTAAGAACCTTGTGTTATTGTAGATCTAAAATTTGGTGGAAATCAGATGGCAAAAATAAACCCCCCTCTGTAGTTTTTACTAGCTTTCTGATGACTGTAATTAGTAAGAGCTCTTACCTGTGGATCGAGATCTTCCTCGTCCTCTATTACTTTGTGCAACCTCACTTGCTTCTTCAAACCACCTTGATAGCATGTCAGACATTCTCTGCATCAATGACACATTGGGACTTTGCTCTCCTATGAAAGCACAGGTCATATCAGTGAATTAGTAATAAGTCAGCACCTTTCATTAATGCAAAAACCCAGATTTCAGGGCCTTAAAAATGAACATAACTTAAAAAAATCAAATTGCCCAAATAATTGTATGAATGTACACAGATCCACAAGAGCCACATCACATTTCACAGTAAAAGTTTAAATGAGTGGCTCTCCATGTGTATTTGAGTTTTTCAAGAATAGGACTGAGCTTCTACATCTTTGCCTAGTCTTAGGGTCTCCCCACCCCTACCCAACCCACCTCTTTAGTTCCAAGAGTGCACAGCTAGGAAGGGCTTGTGCATTGTACACTGTTCAGATTAAAAGAAAAGTTTGCCCTCTCACTTAAAATTTTCTTAAACTGAATTTGTTTTCATCATTTACTGTAAGCAAATTCCACATACTTGAAATTAACTGAAACTAGAGGTGTTTCATCTCTTCCCTTCCTGCTTTTCCTCCTTCAAATACACAAGTTTTCTTGAGCATTTTAAAATTAAATATGACATCAACACTGACAATTCACTTCTATTCTACAATCATATAATTAAAAATGAAAATCATTTGTTCTTCAATTTTCTGTGAAAATAGAATTTATTGTATACTTCATTGCCTTTATATTATATAGCTATTTAGATATTATAAAATAATATAAAAGATAATATACTGGGAAATATGCCTTTGATCTTGAAAGATTTCAGAAGTCATTAGAGTAACATTTTCGCTAAAGACCCACTTATTAAAATTAATTATATTTTAACGTGCCATCTTAAAGCTTCTGAGGTAGTTTCTCACACTTGTCAAAGGCATCTGAGAGAAGGGTAAAAAAATGTATGTGCTATTATAAAACTCTCTGGTTGGAAACTGAGGGTTCTCATTCCATTTATATCTGAGAGAAAGGCAAAAATTAAGAAGTTTGAAGACACCTGATGTTTTATGAGGCACGAGCATTCTTACACTTTCAGTAGGAATGTAAAAGAGCGCTTTTTGGGCACTAATCCAGTGGCCCCACCATCCCATTTGTGGAAATTTAGCTGCGACCCACTTGCACGGATGTGCTAAGAGACGTACCAGAACGCTTGCTGCAATTCACTTTTAACAGCGAAAACAATGGAAACTGGTGAAATGCTCATTTTAAAATACCATAGAAAAAGAAAAAAGCTGACCAAAGTATAGTTACCATCTCGCTCTCGTTCACTCTCCGGCCTGGCTCGGGGTCCAGTATCTGACCAGTCACCACGAAGCCTCAAGCGCTTCACCGGAGGCTGCCGTAACTAAAAGGTGAGAAGAACACTTGTTTGCTCACCTCTAAAGCACACTTCCAATCTAATAGCTTCTCTCCCTCCACCTACTTTCTGTACTGAGGACGCACGTAGAATGAAGAGAGAGAGACACAAAGGAAATATTGTAGAGGAAGCCAAGGGCCCTCAGGTAGAGGCCTGCTTAGCTGCCCGAGTGAGCAGATGTGCTAGAGCAGAGAAGCAGAGAGAGCAAGGGAGTATGAGAACAGGTGATGTAGGTCTTTTTTTATTTTTTTACTTGATTTTTTATTAAGGTATTATATGTGTACATATCTTTCCATTGTCTCCCCTCTCCCCCCCCATACATGCCTTTGAAACTACTTGAAACTACACTACTAAGGAGCTCAGTCTGGCTCTAAAAGAAGGGGGAGCCCCTTGGAGAGCTGATCGGAAGAGCAGCATGACCTGATGAGAAGATTATGGGAAGTGTGGCAGGGGAACTGGTTAGAAACCCCATAACAACAGAGGAGAGAGATGCTGACACCTTGCACCAAGTAGCAGTGGTAGCCAGGTGGTGAGTAGTGCTACAGATTTGGGATGTATATGTTAAAGAAAAACTATGGGGACTAGGAAAAAATGAGAGATTGTATTCAATGCAGTAGTTCAATGATGAAGTGAGGCAGGCATCACCCCAATAAATTCAGTTTAAAAATTAGAGGAAAAGGAAAAGAGAGAAAAGACAATAAAAAGAAATAATAATAAAGGAAAATGAGAAATGAGAAACAACTGAAAACAAAAGAATCCTATCTAATAAAAGAGTAATATGCAGATTGACCATCACTCCAACACACAAGATGGCTACCCCCATGTGGTCAAAGATCCTGCCCCCTGTGGACACAAGATGGCCACCACAAGATGGCCTGAAAGAGAGAGCAGTTGTGGGTGATCAGGCCAGCAGGGGAAGGCAGCTGGGAGGCACCGGGCCTGCAAGGGAGGGCAGTTGGAGGCAATCAACCCTGCAGGGGAGGGCAGTTAGGGGTGATAAGACTGGCAGAGGAGGAAAGTTGGGGGCAAACAGGCTGGCAGGGGAGCAGTTATACATCAATCAGGCTGGCATGGGAGTAGTTAGGGGGTGATCAGGCTGGCAGCCTGAAGCAGTTAGGGGCAATCAGGAAGGCAGGCAGGTGAGCAGTTGGGAGCTAACAGTCCTGGACTGTGAGAAGGGTGTCTGACCACCAGTTTAGGCCTGATTCCACTGGGGTCGGACATACCTTGAGGGGTTCCAGATTGGAGAGGGTGCAGGCTGGGCTGAGGTACACTCCCCCCTTCACCTGTGCACGAATTTCATGCACCGGGCCTCTAGTATATATATAAAAGCGCACTGACCACCAGGGGCAGACACTCAATGCAGGAGCTGCCCCCTGGTGGTCAGTGCGCTCCCATAGGGGAGCACTGCTCAGCCAGAAGCTGGGCTCACAGCTGGCAAGGGCAGTGGTGATGGTAGGAGCCTCTCCCACCTCCATGGCAGTGCTAAGGACCCCTTGAGGGATGTCTGACTGCCGGCTTAGGCCAACTCCCTGCAGGCCTAAGCCAGCAGGCAGACAATCCCCAGGAGGTCCCAGATGGCAAGAGGGCACAGGCCGGGCTGAGGGACACCCCCTCCCCCAGTGCATGAATGTTGTTTACTGGGCCTCTAAGAAGGTTATAAGTGTGAAAGAGAGGCAAGGCAGTCTTTGGAACAGAAGAACTGTTTGCCACATATGAATAGTAAATGGTAAAAGGTAAAACTCCAATTAGTGTGTGAACATAAATATTTAGTCTCCTGGAAATCTGTACATCACATTTTTTTATTTTAACTACCTTTTCTGTAACTGTTAGACTTTTGGCTATTTCTTGCTGCTACTGTGCAACCTCATAGTTAGCAAAGCATTTTGTTATTAAATATTTTCTCTTTAAAAATATTTTATAATTCTTCTCTGTAGAGCAGTGGTTCTCAACTTTTTTAATGTCGCGACCTTTTAATACAATTCCTCATGTTGTGGTAACACCCTATCATAAAATTATTTCGTTGCTACTTCATAACTGTAATTTTGCTACTGTTATGAATCATAATGTAAATATTTGTGTTTTCTGATGGCCTTAGGCTCTACAGCAGCGATTGTCAACCAGTGGGTCACGACAGCAGCAGTTCTTGTTGAGAACCACTAGCAGGGTCACCTAAGACCATCGGAAAATACAGATATTTACATTACGATTCATTAACAGTAGCAAAATTACAGTTGTGAAGTAGCAATGAAAATAATTTTATGGCTGGGGGTCACCACAACATGAGGAACTATATTAAAGGGTCCCAGCATTAAAAAGGTTGAGAACCACTGCTGCAGAGCCTTTCCTTAATTATAGCTTCTGTTCTTTCATGCATCTTTTGTGTCTTTGTTTCCTAGACTATAAGTGCCTTGAAAATTGGCTCTATTTTTTAAAGCCCTTCAGGCTCCAGAAGTCACTGAACTAGTATTTTCTGCGTAAAATAAAGAAGACGGTTTTGAGTAAACTTACCTCTTCCCTTCTCTCTTCTGAAGAAGGAGTTCGAAGTTCTCGTGCGGTGTCATCTTTGGGGTCAAAAAGGTAGATATAATCTGAAGAGTAGCTAACGAGAATCTCCTGACCGTCTTCACTGTAACACAGAGACGTCACCCTGCAGGACTTGTTGTTAAGATGAGAAGGGAGAAAACGGGCAACCATTCCAGCAGTCCCCCGGCCTGCATAATTCCCTAGAATAAGAAAACAGGAAAGTGTTTAAAATTCATGTTTTTGAAGAAAAACATTTTAAAAAGTCTTAATCTGCACAAGGAGATACATGATTTAATGTAGCAACAGAAATCAAAGGTATCATTCTATTTCTAGAAGAAGAGGCTCTTTTTTCAATAACCAAATTTTATAACAAAATGAAAAAGAATACAATACAAAAGAAACGTACCTTTAAAAAAATTCAGAATCATCTGGAATGCCAGATTACATATTTTATTGGAAATATGATTTAACCAATTAAATAATTTATGATTATAGTCACACTAAATCATCTTCTAAAAATTCTCCCCAAATTAATATACTTTTTGTAATATAAACTAGAGGCTCGATGCATGGAAATTCATGCCCTGGAGGGGGGGATCCCTCAGTCCGGCCTGCCCTCTTCTCACAGTCTGGGAGCTCTTAGGGGCGGGAGACAACCTGGTGATCAGGGGAAGGTGACGTCCCATCACATCTCTGCTGAAGACACTGCCAGCAGAGCAAGCCTCAGCCAGTCCTGGTTACCTGAGCCTTGGGCAGCCCTGGGCAGCCAAGCAGCCACCATCCAAGGCTTGCCTGCACCACAGGCCAGCCCTGGGTGGCTGGGCAGCTGACATCTGAGGCTTGCCTGTGCCTCGCGTGCCCTGGGTGGATCGGGAGCTGAGAGGACTGAGGGACTTCGGAGGCAGGACTGAGGGGGCTGGGCGCCGCCATCTTTGCGGGTATGGAAGTCAATTAGCACATTCCTTCCCTACTGACTGTGGGCATCGCCATTTTTAAGGGAAGGAGAGTAATAGCATATTTCCTCCTTATTATTTGTGGGCGCTGCCATCTTTGTGATGGTGTGAGGGTCAATTATCATATCCCCTCTTTACTAGATAGGATAGGAAAGTTTATATTTATTATTATACCAGATAAAAAAGTGCAGTATCCTTTTAAACTGATTTACCTTCTACTTCATGTTTTTTAAAAATTTGACTGCCGTGAAATTTTTTCCTTCTAAGACTACAGAGTGGCAATACTATGCCAGTTTTAATTCTTTGTAGTAGTCATTAATACAATGCAATATGACAGAGAGGGTAAATGAGCACTTTGTCTCCTGGAGGACTCAGGAATGCTCAATTCTAAGAATCTAAATTATACACCAAGTTGTACAATTCTGCACAATGAGGTCTTACACCTGGGTCTCATCTGTTGAGAAACAATGTCACCTGGGTCTCATCTGTTGAGAAACAATAATGAAGCCTGTAATTCCGTATTTAATACTATTTCCCTAAATGTGCATATTCAAATAGACATGACTCCTCAATTAGTTGAGAAAAAATAATTTCCTCTCGCCTTCCCATTTCAATAACCATTTTTAATGACATAAATTGACAATGAAATTGACACTGCGTTCATTTCTGGCCAAGTCCACTTTTATTTTTAGCAATATAATTTATGTGAATATATATTTGATATTTGGGTATGTCAGTGTTTAAGTATTCCTGGCTTTCTTTACTGAGGAAATACTAATGGAGGCTGGCTTTGAATTGGGAATTTCAAAAGTGGTTTGATCCCATAATGGATGAGGAGTTGAAGGCAGATTCAAGTTCAGTGCTGTAGCATCACTGATAACAGCACTTCAAATCTGCTAAGCAGGCAGGAACATAAGCTGTACATTAATGCACAAGTTACTGTTCTTTCCTCTCCACCATCTTACCGTTATCCTCTGAATTTAAAAAATGGCAAAGAGAAATTAGGAAAACCAAGTGTTGTGTGTTGAATAGGGTCCCCACTCCACACACACACAAATTCATGTCCACTAGAACCTCAGAATATGACCCTATTTGGTACAATGAGGTCATACTGGCTTAGGATCCTAAGCCCAGTATGACTGATGGTCTCAGTAAAGAGAAATACAAAGACATACCCAGGGCAGAAGGCAGGTAAATATGGAAACAGAGATTGAAGCAATGCACTTAAAAGCCAAGGAATGTTAAGGATTGCCAGTGGCAACTACAAGGAAGCAAGGAGAGCCCTGCCTGGGGAGCTCAGCTGGTTAAAGAATCGTCCCCATACGCCAAAGTTGCAGGTTCAATCCCTGTCAGGGCACATACAAGAATCAACAAATGAATGCATAAATGAGTGGAACAAATCAATCTTCCTTTCCTTCTTCCTCCCTTCTTCCTCCCACCCCCTTCCTCTTTCTCTCTAAAATCAATTTTAAAACTTTAAAATAAAAGAAAAGAAGAGAAGCATGTATCGATAATAGATTTTCTCTGAGAACTTCCACATTAAAACGACCCTGCAAAATCCTTACTTTAGCCTCTGAATTATGAGACAATAAATTTATTATTTTAAGCCACCTAGTATACAGCCCTAGGAAATTAATATAATTGGCTCTTGTTATTTGCAGGTTTCAAACCTACAGATTCAACCACCCCTGAAGGAAAACAGTACTTTCCACCAGTGGAGGGCTGAACATATGCACTTTTCTAAGCCATTTTATAAAGGACTTGGACATCTGGGGAGTTGGGTACCCCAGGGCTCCTGGAAACATCCCTGGAGATAGTAAAGAACAACTATACATCAAGCGCTAAACTTTTTAAAGAGAAAAACTGCAAAAGTACCAGCCCAACAGAATCATAAAAACTTAGTGAAAGGCTGTTTTTATAATACATATTATTTAAACACATTCTACATACTAAATTGTAATAAAAATTTTTAAGTGTCATATTTATTTTCTGAACTGACAGAATCTTGTATCTACATTAATATATATCTTTGTACCTGTAGCTCTTGTGCCCAGCATTCTCCGGTCATATATTCGAACTGAGCTATCAGAACAACCCACAGCAAGATAATATGGTATTGGTGGGCAAATCGCTACAGAAGTAGCAGCACGTCGGCAGTTAATTAGAATATCCTACAAAAGACAAAATAGCAGCAGTTACATAGAGCTTACAGTAAGATGATACTACTCTGTTTCTCCGAAAATAAGAGTGTCTTATATTAATTTTTGCTCCCAAAGATGCGCTAGGTCTTATTTTCAGGGGATGTCTTATTTTTTCATGAAGAAGAATATGGTACACATTTATTGTTAAATGAAAATAAAGGAAATTTAGTACCTGTATACAGTATGGTAGTACGGTAGCTGTCAACACAAACCAGACAAACTGTGAATCCTACAGTATCAAGAATTTACTCATTTATTTAATGACAATCATGTCATCATCTTCTTGAACATCATCATAACAATCCAATTCCTGAATTTCCTGATGAATTTCTTATAACTCTATTTCTTTCAGAATCAGTGGACCAAATCTCTCATGTTTAGCAATAGCATTCTGAGACAGAGCCTGGGGGGGGGGGGTTTATTTTCAGGGGGGGGGATGCCTTATATTTCACTCAGAAGGAAACCTGTAAGTAGGTCTTATTTTTAGAGGATGTTTTATTTTCGGGGAAACACGGTATATTGAAAAAGGTTTTCTTCAATTAGAAGAAAACAATCTTTCTCAGAAATCCTAATTCAATAAGTTTGACATTGAAAGGGGGAAATGTGGTTTCCTTTCATTTTTCAGATTTCTTTCTATCAGTAATTTTCTAAAATATTCAGCTTATGTGAAAGGAAGATAAATACATGCAGTCAATATTCCTCCTCAGCAGTTTACCACTCTAAGAAAAACTCTGTTTTCTTTATAGTTTACTATACAATTCCAAAACTGACTTCTAATATAAATTTTATGCTTTCCTTATGGACCAAACAAAATAAGAAAACATATGTGGAAAACTACATTTAATTAAAGTAGCAATTTAAAATCAACCAACATCTGAGTAATTCAAAATACATTCTAAAGAGGAAAGAAATAAAAATTGTTCCCAGATATAAGACTCAAACAGCAGCTAAATCAACAGCAGCTACAAAAGAGCTGCTCATAATTCAAGAAACTCATCATTAATCATGATTTAAATCCTTTCTCAAAACTAGCTGCACTTCAGATAATGATATAATACAAATTGAATTATTTCTCAGAAATGCCCCCTAAATATCCTCATGCTTATGACTAATGAACATCTTTAGGAATGTAAAACATTCACATATATAATGTATCAATAAGTTACTAACCACATTAGAAATGCTGCTGTTTTTGGTCCATTGGACAGTAAAGATGGAGGTATAATCTACCTTTTTCTGATTAGTACTAATTATTTTATATGGTACTTATAATATTTTAGTTCTTTTACTACTAAAATATAACAAAAGTATTATTAATTGATTTTAAACTTTTAAACTTTTCTCAACTTATAAAATCTTTTTCCTTATCAGGTTAAATATAAAGTATAATCTCTCTCTCTCTTTCTCTCTCTCTTTCTCTCTCTCTCTCACACATACATACACACACACAGCCTATAAAAGACAGATTTTACTATAATGTCACTATTTACCCTCTATAAGCATTAGAAAATGTAAGAGTTATGACCCGGAACACATATCCTAAAGGTGTTCTGTTAATTTTATACTATTTTGTCTGTGATCCAAGCTCCTCACTCTTCTCAGTTCAGCTGTGTATTTAAAATATATTCACTTTATGTTTTATTTATTTAACTAGATATCCCAGCCTACACCTCTTCAATCTGGGACCCCTTAAGGAATGTCCAACTGCAGGTTTAGTCCCGATCCCTAGATGTCCTACAGTCAGACATCCCTCTTACAATCCCAAGTGCTCGCCTGCCTGCCAGCCTGATCACCCCCTAACCACTCCGCTGCCAGCCTGATCGATGCCTAACTACTTCCCTGCTGGCCCGATTGCCCCCAACTGCCCTTCACTGCAGGCCTGGTCCCCCATGCCCCCAATTGTCCTCCCCTGCAGGCCTGTTCCCCTCCCCCACCAGCCTGGTCACCCCTTCCCTAACTACCCTCCCCTGCAGGCCTGGTCACTCCCAACTGCCCTCCCCAGCCACCCCGGCCACCCCTAACTGCTCTCCCCATCAGTCTGGTCACCCCCAAATGTCCTCCCCTGCAGGCCTTGTCCCTACTAACTGCCCACCCCTGCTGGCCTGGTCATCCCTAACTGCCTTTCTCTGCTGGCCTGATCACCCACAACTACCCTCCCATGTTGGCCATCTTGTGGTGGACATCTTTGACTATATGGGGGCGGCCATCTTGTATGAGGGTGTGAGGGTCAATTTGCATATTACCTCTTTATTATATAGTGGTATTGACCTCAGAACTTTATTCCTATTATACCAAATTTGTTTACCAAATGCCTTCCATAATTCTGTTTTAGTAGTTAAAGATTACTTTAGGAGCCAGTTTTTTTTTTTCATACTTTGGCCTCTATTCATTTTTATATATAAAGAAATAAAAAGTTTTATTAAGGAAAATTTTAACGTTTCACTTATTAGCTTTTCTTTCATCTTTATTTTTACCGGATTTTTGGTTATCAAAGCACAACTAAATCTTACTATGTGCACACTAAAATATGTCTTAAAAGAATTTGACATAACAAATTTTAGTATCTACCATTTACTGAGAAATAGGAATATCAAATACCATAGTAAACAATCTGATATTTTAAACTTATTCTGCCTTTCATATATTAGTTCAATGCTTTCCTAGTTTTGTGTGTGTATACATATATGTAACATAAAAAGACTTAAAAATCATACATTTAAAATTTCTTAATTTCTATTTTTTTGTTTCAATGTAGAAAATAATCTCTCCCCCTCCCCCACATCAAGAATTTTAATAATAGTAACTGGTTTAAGTAGCAAGCATTTAACCTCGTCACTAGTAATTCTTCTTTGAGGGGGGTGGAAACTTCCAATAAAAATATATTTAGTAATACTTTCTTATTTCATTTGGTACTTCAAAATGATCTGAGAAAAAAGCCACTGTTTATAAATAATATTTGGGGTTAGCTGTCTGGGACCATTACATGATTTCTCAGGCCTTTTGCAAGTTTAAAATAGTGTTAAAAATACAAAATTGATAGTGAAACTATGCCTATAGAGAAGTGTGCTAAATCTGAATGAACACATTGATAGAATGGTATCTTGTTATTTAAAAAAAAAAAAAAACCCAAACATATAATTGTTGGTTTAAAAGCTAGGGTAAAAACAAAGAGAAGACAGACACTAAACTACCACACACTTTCATTGTGGCTATTGGTGAGCCAAAATTATCTCCATAAGTGGGCTTTTTTGATAAATGCTCTAGTTTTTATAATACTCAAGTATATACTGAACAGTTCTCATGTATATATAATTTGAAATGTACAATAAAAATACAACTTCCTTAACTTCACTATTAACATTTTAATGTAAAAAAATGTTAATTATAAAATATATGCTATTAAATATTTTTGCAAAACAACTGACCCATAATCTCAATAATCCAGAGATAACTTATTGGTACTATTCAATTTTTTTTTAATCCTCACCTGAGGATGTTTTTAACTTTGATTTTCTGGAGAGGGAAGGAGGGAGGGATGGAAACATCAATGTGAGAGAGACATAGATTGGTTGCCTTACGCATGTGCCCAACCCGCAGGTACATGCCCTTGAACAGGAATCAAACCCACAACCCTATAGTGTGTAGGCCGATGCTCTAACCACCAAGAAACACAGGCCATGGCTTACTATTTCAATTTTAATTATAATCTTATATATTTTGCATCATTTATACAAGAATTTAATTCTTACATCTTTGCAATCTTCTTTTGTGCAGCTAGTTTTGATGCGCGTATCAAACCACCTAACAGTTCCGTCTTCACCACAAGAGAGGAAAGTATGCGGGTCATTGGGTACAGTCATAATCTGAAGATGAGAGCAAAATTCCAGATATTCTTATTGAACACTTAAACAGATGGCTTTGAGAAGCACTGCTACTGTTTTATAAAATGATTAAAGCAAAAGCAACTATGTCAAAACAGTAAAATACATATAGAAGTATACAAGAAGTAATAGTTAAATTAATATGACTCATTACTTTGAAGTTTGAAATGAATGTTCCTGCAGATAGGTAGTTGTTTAAAATTATAAACTTCTAACAACTTTGACAAGAAATATTTTTACCCTAGGAAACTTGTTCAAGCTATTCAAAGACTAATTTTTATGAGTTCTGGATAAATTTGTAATTATATTATAAACACATTCTAATTTTCTTCTATGATAATGTTTAAAAAAACTATAAGATGCTGAATTGATTAAAGCATTTAAATTGGCGTCTCAAAATTTTTGACAAAGTTTCTTGATTATGACAACAAGCTAGGAAAGGGAGGAAATTACCTCAACATAAACACCATATATGAGAAGCTCATGGCTAACATTATATTCAACTAGAGGCCCAGTGCATGAATTCGTGCATGGGCAGGGTCCAGCCAGCCTGCCCCAATTGGGGCAATAAGGTCTGGCTGGCTGAGGGGAGGGGATGCAGGAGGTTGGCCAGCTGGCCCTGCCCCCTGGTGGAACTCCCAGTCAAACTCCTGGTCAAGGGGACAATTTGCATATTAGCCTTTTATTCTATAGGATAGTGAAAAACTGAAAGCTTTCCCTTTCAGATCTGGAACAAGACATGAATGTCTACTCTCATTACTTCTATTCAATACATTATTGAAAATTCTAGCTAAAGCAAGAAAAAAGAAATAAAAGTAATCGAAACTGAAAAAGAAGTAAAACTATCTCCGAGTGAAGATGACATGGTTTTATATGTACACTATTCTAAAGATTCACACACACAAAAAAACCCCATTAAAACTAATAAATGAATACAGCAAAGTTGCAGGTTAACAAGACAACAAAAGATCAGTTGTGTTTCTTTAAAGCACTAACAATAAACAATCTGAAATGAAATTAAGAAAACAACCTCATTATATTACAAGCAAAAAGAATAAAATACTTGGGAATAAACTTATTCAAGGAGGTGAAACTCTTATATACAAAAAACTATAAGACACTGTTGAAAAAAATCAAAGAAGACACACACAAATGAAAAGACATCTTTGTTCATGAATTGGAAGACTTAATATTGTTTAAATGCCCATACTACTCAAGGTGATCTAGATTTAACCCTGTGGCATTTTTTTTTTTTAACAGAACCAGAAAAAATATCTTAAAATTCATATGGAACTCAAAAGACACAAATAGCCAACACAATCTGGACAAAGAAAAACAAAGCTGCAGGCCTCATACTTGCTGCTTTTCAAAAAATATTACAAAGCTATTGTATTTAAAACATTACTGGTATTATAGTACTGACATAAAGACTTTATGCAAGACAGAGATAGTGTAAGAGGTGAAAGCACAGAGAGCCCTGAAGCACAATACAGAAGCATCTTCTAAAGGCTGACACCTGCTTGCCAAGAGTATGGTTGCTCACATAATTACTATTACTCACAGCTTATTTCTTATTACTATTACTCATAGCTTATTTCTTCACTTTATTCCCAAGCGTATCAAGACCCATTTCTCAAATGCTTTACTGTAATCTAGATATTCTAGCAATACTATCTTTGCCTACAAATTCATGAAGAAGTGTACATACATAAATCTATACATATGTACTACAAACATACACTTACATAAAAACATACACATATGTATCACATATATAATCATAATACTACTGCACCTCATAGGTAGTTCCATAATGGCACGTAAATTGGCATTGTCTGTTAGTTTCTGCATCTTGCTCAACATTGGTGTAATATATTACTCCATCTCCAGAGCAGGAGACAATCTGCTTATCATTTGTGCATGGTAAGAACTTTGCACTGAAGATATTTGCTCGGTGTCCTGAACGAATTGTCGTCAAAACCTGAAACATACAAAGAAGGTAATTCTTGGCAATTTATTACTTCCTAGAAATAAACATTCATATTTAACATAAGCAGAGCCAGGAATAAACTCTCATTAACATTTTTATCTCAATGAATATTACCATTTGATTTGAAATATTATAATTAGGGGAAAAAGCAATCAAAATCATTCACATTTTCTTTTTTCCCTCTGAGGTGTTAAGAATTTTGACAATCATTTTGGACTGAATGCCTCACTATCCAGGCAGTTATCTGTTAGGATATTATAAAAGTTATTTTTAGGACTATTTAATCAAGCATTTTTTTCATTGTCTTCAGTGTGAGGATTGGTCCAAATAAACTAGCCCATAATTTTTGAAAAACAAAACATTCTCTTTTTAATATATTTGAGATTTATTATATCTACTAGAGGCCTGGTGCACAAAAATTCGTGCACTGGAAGGGGTCCCTCAGGCTGGCCTGCCCCCCTCAATGTCCAGGAGCCCTCAGAACATGTTCCATGGGGAGTGGGCCTAAGCCACAGTCTGGTCTCCCTCTGCAGGAGGTGACCGGTCAATCAGGGGAAGGCACCATCCCCATTACCCCCTCTGTGGGAGGCGACCTGGAGGATCAGGGGAAGGCAACGCCCTGCTGTCAGCCACCCCAGCTTGCCTGAGCCTCAGCCCCGGTCCTCTCAGCAGCAGCCACTGCAGCTTTGTCTGGAAGGATGTCCGGAAGACGTCTGCTCTAATTAGCATATTACCCTTTTATTAGTATAAATGATTAAGATATACCATTAATAAGAAACACCTGATCTCTTAACTCTATAGGTAGTGTTTTGAAACTTTCTTTAGTATTAATTAATCTTCCCATGAATTATAGGATCTAAAAATAGAGTGAAACTATAAGAAAAGATTTAACTCAGGATTAAAAAAACAAACCAATTTTCCTATGTACTCAATCATTAGTTTTTTTACAATAAAAATAAAAATATTTGTATGATATCAAAATTTGAAACTATTAAAACCACTATGTGGCCGAGACCGGTTTGGCTCAATGGATAGAGCGTCGGCTTGAGGACTGAAGGGTCCCGGGTTCGATTCCGGTCAAGGGCATGTACCTTGGTTGCGGGCATATCCCCAGTAGGGGGTGTGCAAGAGGCAGCTGACCGATGACTCTCTCTCATCGATGTTTCTGACTCTCTATCTCTCTCCCTTCCTCTCTGTACAAAATCAACAAAATATATAAAATAAAATTAAAAAAAAAAAACACAAAAAAACCCCAATATGTGACAAAGATAGTCTTTTTATACCTAAAATCTCTGAAAGTATTATCTGATTAATCATTCATCAAATTGGAAATGAGGGTGGGCAATGAGCAATTGCTTTTAAAATATTATCTAATAAAAGAGTAATATGCAAATTGACCATCACTCCAACACACAAGGGCTGCCCCCATGTGGATACAAGATGGCCGCCACAAGATGGCCAGCAGGTGAGTGCAGTTGGGGACCACCAGACCTGCAGGGGAGGGCAGTTAGGGGTGACCAGGCCTGCAGGGGAGGACAGTTAGGGGCAATCTGGCTGGCAGGGGAGGAGTTAGGCATCAATCGGCTGTAAGGGGAGTAGTTAGGGGGGTGATCATGCTGGAGGTTAGGGGCAATCAAGAAGGCAGAAAGGCAAGCAGTTGGGAGCCAGCAGTCCTGGATTGTGAGAGGGATATCCCAGATTGGAGAAGATGCAGGCTGGGCTGAGGGATACTCCCCCTGCCACAAATTTTGTGCACTGGACCTCTACTACCTATATAATCTACTAGGAACCATGCATAAAACAAATATCATTTTAAAAAAGCAATTAAAAAAGAAGCACCTGATCTTCTAAAAATTATGCTATTGGGCTTTTTAACACACACACACATACACACATTATATATATATATATATATATGTTGATTTTAGAGAGAAATGGAGAGGGGGGGAGAGGCAGAAATAACAATGATGAGAGAGAATCATTGATCAGCTGCTTCCTGCATGCCCCCTAAATGGGGATCTAGCCTGAAACGATGTGCCCTTGACCAGATTCAAACACATGACCCTTCAGTCCGCAGGCCGACGCTCTATCCACTGAACAAAACTAGCTAGGGCCCATTGGACATTTTCACAAAATAATTGAAAGGAGGAATTTGCAGAGTTATTTATACCCTTACATTCATAGCAGCATTACATTTACAATAGACAAAGCAAAAGCAACCCAAGTGTCCACTGATACATAAATGGATAAATAAAACGTGGTCTATCCACACAATGGGTTATTATTTAGCTTTTAAAAGGATAGAAAATCTGACACATGCTGTAAAGTGGGTGACCCTTGAGAAAATTATGCTGAGTAAAATTAGCCAATCATAACAGGACAAATGCTGCATAAACACATGTGAAGTTCATTAACATCAAACTAGGGCCAGCAGCACCAGCTGTTGTACCTAGAAGTAGATGCAGTGCTTAGAGTAGTCAGAGTCACAGACACAGAAAGCAGACTGGTGGTTGTGGGAAGGCTGCCGGGAGGGGAGAACGAGGAGCTCCGGTTTAAGGGGCAGAGACTGAGTTCTGCAGCTGGATGGGGACGATGGTATCACAATAAGGTGAATGTATATAATGTCACTGAACTGAACTCCTAACAATGGTTAATTTTATGTTATATGTATATTATCACAATTTAAAAAAAATAAAGCTCTGCATTTTTTAAAGAAAGTTTGTTGGTATCTCAGTGAGCGCTTTGTATATTAAAAGCACTGAAATTCTAATGGTCAGGAAATTTCTCCACTGTAAGAAAAAGGTAGTCCTAGTCATTACAGACGTATGAGAAATAGAGCTTGAAAACATCAAGTTCCCCTCTGGTAAGCCAGTACAATTAAGCAAAGCTGTCTCTGAAATAAAATTATGACCTATCTTTTCCATCAAGGACAGCATCAATGTGAACTTCTTTTTAGGCTGAAGGACAACAAACATTTATTTAAATAGCTTAACTAAAGGAAAATAAGAAATACATGAAGTATTGATCCTGTAAGATTGATAATATTAAAAAAGGGTGCCTATTTACCATGTTCTCACTGACATAAAAATGGTTGCGTACTCCTCTACATAAGCAGTCAGAGGAAGAGCCAGTAAAACCAGAACACAATCCTAGTTCCTAGCCCAGCTTATTGAACTGAAGAAACATGCCACTGTTTTTAAACTGATAAAATACCATTTCTCATACTGCTTGGCTGAAAATCAGTTCCTCTGAGCAGAAAGGAAAAAGATCACATTGCCTCCCCGGCCTTCAAAGAATGCTTTACTGAGATAATATCACTTTTGGCAATGTTACCCACTGGGCTAACATGAAGCATGCTTAAATGTTCTAGAATCAAGAAGCAGAATGAAACCTAATGTTTTGCTAAGGAAACTAGCAGGCCTGGCTGTAATAACTTATAAATTATATAACAAACGTGAGCAAAATAAGAATATTCTATTACAGTCCATAATTATTATAATTTCTTTTTTTTCTCATTCCCATGAAATTGTAGATTTTATAAACTACTTACCTTTCTACTGTAAGGATTACTAATTACTAACTTGGTGTCATCTGAGCCAGATAAAATATATTCTCCAGTCTCATTCCAACAGATTGTATTAACCTAAAAAGAAAGCAAAAAAGGGATTGCAGCAAACTGAACATAAAAACAAGTGTGAATCTTTTACTTAACTGATGGTTCAAAATTTATATCACTAATGAGGTTGTATGTACGGAAAATAGTATTTACCAATTTACTACCTGAAAGTACATGTTGATTTCTATTTAGCAAACACAATATTCTGAAAATTCATAATTAAATGTCTGTCTCTCTTAAATTTTATTATTTAAATTATTTTAACTAATTCATTTTATATCCAGAGACATAAAACTGGGTCACCTAAAAAGGAATTAAAAAAACTTACTACAAAGCTGCAGTGGTCAAGGCTGTGTGGTGGTGTCATAACCATAAACACAAATCAACCGAATGGAATGGATAGTCAGAAATGAATCCTTACATTCATGGTCAAGTAATTTTTATCAAGGAGTCTAAGACTACTCAATGGAGAAAGAACAGTTTTTCAACAAATGTGCTGGGACAACTGGATATACACAGGCAAAAGAATGAATTTAGACTCCTACTTCACACCATATATAAAAACTGACTGAAAATGATCAAATATTGAAACATAATAGCCAAAACAATGAAACTCTCAGAAGAAAACATAGGTGTAAATCTTCATGAAAACTAAAACCACAATGAGTTACTATTTCACACCTAATACGGTGGCTATAATAATTAAAAAAACAAAACAAAACACAGAAAAGAGTTGGTGAGGATGTCAAGAAACTGGAGGCCTTATACATTGCTGAAAGAATGCAAAATAGCACAGCTCTTTGGGGAAAAGTTTGGCAGCACCTCAAAACTGACACAGAATTATGCTGTACCCATTAATTCCACAACAAGGTCTATATGTAAGAGAAAAGAAAACATGTTACACAAAAACTTGTACACAAAAGTCCATAGATGCATCATTCATAAGAGCCCAAAGAGAAACCAACCCAAATATTATAAACAAAATGTGACAATGTTTGCTTATAACAAAATATCTGCACAATGAAATATTATTCAGCCATATTACCCATATTGTGACATGGACAAACCCTGAAAACGTTAATGATAGTGAAAGAAGCCAGCCTGAAAAGCCTTACATGTTATTCCACTTACATAAAAAGTCCAGAAGAGGCATATCTATAGAGACAGAAAGTAAACTAGTGAAGGCCAACAGCTAGGTGGGGAGGGCATGGGAATGACTGATAAATGGCACAAACTTATATTTCAGATGCTGAAAATATACTGGAATTAGATAGTGGTGACGGCAGTACTTCATTATGATTATATTTTAAAAACCACTAAATTATAGAGGGGATAAATGGTGATGGAAGGAGACTTGACTTGGGGTGAACACACAATACAATATACAATGTATTAGAGAATTTTATATATTTTTATTAACCAATGTCTCCCCAATGGACAATAAAATAGAAACATAAATAATATAAAAAATATAAAACATAAAAAAAACCCTGGATTAAACATTAAGGTGGGTCAATTTTATGACATATGAACTATATCTAAATTTTTAAAAACTACTTAGACTTCCACTTTTAGTCAAAATGGAGTAGCATGGACCATCTCTACTTTAAAAAACACATACCATATACTTTTTTTAAATTCAAAATCACTTCAATGTAAAACTTTATTTTCCCAATTTATTGGTCAGTTACAATCTCTTCAGGGAAAACTGGGAAATTTTTTAAAAAAGATTTTAAAATTGATTTTTAGAGAGAGAGGAAGAAGAAGAGAGAGAAACATCAACGGGCTGCTTTCTGCATGAACCAGCACCTTTCAGTGTGCCAGGCTGGGGCATTTTATCAAACATTTCAACACTCAGTTTTAAAGTCATTCATGGTTGAAAACAACTATTACTTACACAACCATCATGCACATTCAGGGTTGCTTCAAGTTTTAATCTTTGGATAAATTCTCTTCTTCCTGTTTCAAAAGAAAGAAAGAACTAAATATATCCTAACATTTATTGCTGTGGAAAGTAGAACACTGAAGTTAAGAGCCTAGGATCTGGCGTAAGTAGATTCAAGCTCTAATTTCAACTCTTCCATTTATAAACTGAGTGATATTGGGCAAATTAACCCCATCCTATGCCCTAGTTTCCTCATTAGAGTACCTACCTACTTCTTGTAGTTACTGTAAGGATTGGATGATTTCAAGGACAAAAAGGGCTTACTTAGCACCGTGTCTGGACCACAGTAAACACTCAAGGTTCCCTTCATTCACTCATTCACCCAACAAATACATTGAATACTCAGTGTACTTACTCTGTACAAGTAGTATACTAGGAGCTAGAAATACGGTGGTAAAACAAAACAGAAAAAGACCCCTGTCCTCTAGTGAAGGATGAAAGACAATGAACAATACACTTGAAGGTGAAGGTGCTACATGGAAAAGTGAAGCAGAGAAAGGGGTGAGAGAGGCCTGGAGGTGGAGGACGGGGTTTCAGTTGAAATAGGGTGGCACACAGCGTTTGCTAGCTGCCACCTCTACTTAAACACATCTCAATTTGAGAAATGTTAGCATATTTTAAAGCTCATTTTGCAATGATGAAATGTGGCAGCAAAAAATAAAATAAAATCAACCTAACTGTCCATCAGTTAAAACACTACAAAAATAGAACATGTTCCTTCTTTGGAAAAGAGAAATATGTTTCCCTTTAAGACATGAATCATCTTTACCAAAGATGGACCAAAAAGCTTTATGTTTATTCAGAAACTGAAGTGAAAGGAAGCTGAGTATGTGACAAAGAGCGATAATTAGCTAAGTAATCAGGCTGATGAAATCTCGGATAAAATTAAATTTGACTATGCTTTCTGTATACTGTCACAGGGACAGATTTCTTTATTATGTTTTCTCGCCATGCTACCTAAAGATCAGCATCTCCTTTGAAGCCAAACTATTGTTTTTTTTCTCCTTCCTTATAACCGGCAAGATGTCTAGATAGAGGATGAACACATGGATTAAAAAATAATTTCTTTTTGTTTGTGGGGAATGCTCTACATTTCCAAAACTTACTAGAATAAAACAATTGATAGAAATTCAGTAAGGTATTTTCCTGAACAGGGTTGTACTTTAACTTTTCAAATCTAATTTTCGGTTATAAAGACATTATTAATAGCAAATTTTTTTAAAAAAAATTTATTGATTTCATAGAGGAAGGGAGAGAGTGATAGAAATATCAATGAGAGAGAATCATTTACCCTGGGGATTGATCCCAAACCTAGGGCACGTGTCCTGCAGAGAATTGAACTGTGACCTTCTGGTTCATAGGTCGACACTCAACCACTGAACCACACCATCTGGGTGCAAATAGATAACTTTTTAAAAAATTCTTTTCTCTTTGGCTAATGGCAGGGTTGGTAATTCTATGAAGTAATTAATTCATAGTTAAGAAATAAAGTATTACTCAAATTAACAACATGAACAATTCATTAAAATATTTTTATAAATGTACTAGAAACTTTTCCAAACTTCAAAAATCTGGTTTTGAAAACACAGCTCTGCCATTTCTGTCTACAGAAAATAATGATGCACATAAGACAAATGAAGACAAAGTGAGTTCCAGAATAATGCTCATCTACGAAATTTGTACATAAAACACACGCTGAAGCACAATAGTTAAGTAGATAGCTCCTGAGTATTTTTTAACTTGACTTTGGAGATCAAAATGGTTGTGCGTACACAGGTCCCATAAAATGTGCTTCTAGAAATAACAAGTGTCAACACCCTCTACCCTTTCAGCAATTAAATGCGCTTCCAAGAAATGGGAACTGAAAGCCATCAGAAAATAAGAGCTGTAAGTTAAAGAAACTCAACCCCCCTCAAACAAAAGTAAAAATAAACTCATGCCTGCAAAGTCTGGCCTACTTGCAAGCTGACAAGTTACCTGCCATTTCATGGGAGCTGGCAGAAGAAAAAGACTCTCAAGCCAGAAGCAAAGATTTTACTACTCATGGCATAGGAAACGGTATGGGCTTCAGGTTAACACTTTTCTCCTCAGCCCCCAATTCCCACTGGGCAATTTGGGGCAGTCTGGATGCTGCAATGTGCAGGCATTGGACCTGAATCACAGCCAGAAAGCTCTGAACTGCGGGGACCCAAATATTGAATCAAATAACCTGCCTGATAAAAGGGACACATTGTCTTCATTATGCTGGACAATAAATAAATCTGCCCTCTGCCCCAGAGGGAGAAGCTATGTAAACATCGTTGGAAAGATAGTCCAGAACAAAGCAGCCAGTGCCTCAGCTCACAAGACGTGCAGAAATGTAACAAAGCATGGAAAACTCTTCCAACAATTACACTCTTGTGACAGATGAATTTACCTATCATTGTGGCTTCCCACTCCAGTCTTTCTGCGACCCAAACTGCCTCTTAAGATTCCATTTCAATCTCAGCATTCCATTCAATATTAATGGATTATAAACTCCATAAAAAAGAGGAGCAAATGCCTAGAACAGTGCCTAGCACAAAGCAGGCACTCAATCTGTATTCGCTGAATCAATGAATAAATGAATGGGATCAAAGTCTTCACTCTGTTCTATAATGTGTTTCACTCAATAATTTTGGAGGAACATCTTTCAATGACAATCAATACTGAGCCATTACTCATTTTAATGACTGAGAAACTTATTAAGTAGCTTTATAAGTTATTTATCTGCATAACTAGCTCTCTTATTACATTATTAGATGCTTGAGACAAGGAAGGTCAGAACTAGGTTTAAATATCTAACTTGAAACGTACTATACACATACTCTGGGGAAAACCTAACCTCTAGGAGCCTCAGTTTTCACATTGGTACAAGTTTGATCTCTGATGAGAATATTACCATCACCTTTACAGGCTTAATGCTGAGTAAACAATTAGCATACGGGAAACTCATAGATATGACTGATATACTGAAGACACTCAAGAGCAACAGTCTTCTTATGCACATGTGGGATTGTCCTAAGTTAATATTGTCTGAAAAGAGAAAGGATGATTTAAAGAAAGACTTTACTGAAGGGGCTGAGGTAACTTCAAGTGGTTAAGAGAAAAGAATAAGGTTAGTGATACTGAAAGGAAAGCGCCTGTGCAGAAATGTTCACTTTTCTTGATCCTATTGTCTCTTTCAACAGCTTCTTAATGCCAAATTTCCCATCATCTACATTTGCTGCCCTCCCTGGCTCATGGTCAGGTCTTCCTTTTCTGACACTGTGCCTTTGGTCTCCTCCTCTTTATTGTTTTTGGGGTTTTTTTCTTGGAAATCATGGGTTATCAGTGAATCCAATGGTCTTTTTTCAAGTCATACTTTTCCTGACCTCCTAGAATTATCTGTCACTACTGACTGCTGTCTTCCTGAAGTAACAACCCCCATGGCATCGTACCACATAGCTGGAAATGAAAATCAAAGGGTGACAAACCTCTGGAGAGAGAAAACAAAATATAGGGGAAAACGGGACAAAATATGTGTAGATTTGTAGACTGTAAAAAAATAAAAATATAATGCATTGCTGAGGGAAAAGAAAGAACACCTAAAAAAATAGAGAAAAAAAACCCCACCATGTTTATGGTCCATTGATTTTCAACAAAAGGAAAAAGGACTGCCTTTTTCCAAATGGTGCTGAATCAATGCACATTCATTGGCAAAGAGCCGAAACTTGACCCTTACTTCATAGCATAATTCAAAATTGTTCATAAACCTAAATGTAAGAGTTAAAAATAGAAAACGTTAAAAAAAACAAAAAAACAAACAAAAAACCACAGTAGAAATCATTTTGATCTTGGATTAGGTAGAGTCTTAAATAGGATACCAAAAGTATGAATTACAGAAGACACTGTTAAGAAAAATAAAGGGCAAGACAAACTGGGAGAAAATACTGCAAAATGCATATCCAAAACGCGTATCTTGACCTGCAACAAGAATATGTAAAGAATTCTTAAATTATTAAGAAGGTAAACCTGAACATTTAACCAAAGTGTATGGGTGGCAAATAAACAGTGAAAGATACTCAGTATCATTAATCATGGGAATTAAATCAACTGCAAATTAAAATGGTAATAATGGTAATAATGGCCCTAGCTGGTTTGGTTCAGTGGCTAGAGTGTCGTCCTTTGAACTGAAGGGTCCAGGGTTCATTTCCGGTCAAGGGCACATGCCTAGGTTGCAGGCTTGATCCCAGTAGGAGGCGTGCAAGAGGCAGCTGATCAATGGTTTTCTCTCATCATTGGTGTTTTTCTCTCTCTCAGAAATCAATAAAAATATTTTTTCTTAAAAAGATAATTAATGTACCTTTACAAACTTACTAGAAAGGCTAAAATTAGGAGGATTCACAAGGCCAGGTGTTGATGAAAATGTGGAACAATAGGGCGCTCAAGCACCGCAGTATAGTACAATTACTGGAAAATAGTCTAGCGGTTTCTTGTGAAGTTAAACACACACATATATAACTCAGCAATCTCCCTGTTCTTTATTCAGTAAATGAGGATTTTAAAGAATCCTGCTCTAGTTTTATTTTCCAATGTGTAAATAAAAAGCTTCATTATCTATATCTTCCATATTAGACATCAGCAGTGTTTTAAGCAGTGTTTTAAACATTTTTTAAAATCTTCTATACTTGGAAACCCCAGCCACTCGAACCCTGAAGACAACAACATTCAATTACAGTTATAAAAAAAATACACATCATCTAGAATAGTTTTGCAGACCTCAAGCTGAAACTCATTAGTGGATATTTACTGGGTCAGTGGTCAGCAAACTCATTAGTCAACAGAGCCAAATATCAACAGTACAACGATTGAAATTTCTTTAGAAAGCCAAATTCTTTAAACTTAAACTTCTTCTAAGCAGACCTTCAAAAGAGACTCTACCAAGCCATGGTATTTTGTGGAAGAGCCACACTCAAGGGGCCAAAGAGCCACATGTGGCTCATGAGCAGCAGTTTGCCGACCACTGTACTGGGTCAACACCAACATTTTCAATATGATAAAGAACTAAATTAAAATATACCTCAGCTAGTAAGGCTAAATCCCACTCTATAATCTTTTATTTCAGTGCATGTGTATCTCAAGTTGCCATGTATATACATTTTCACTGTGGATCGCGGTCAAACACTTGCAAACACTGACCTAATACCTAACTGTAACATAAGTTCTGCACTACCAGAAGCTCTTGTCCCTCCTCAACACATTCATCCAATACCAGCAGAGCGATCCTATCCTGCTATCTACATTTATGACTGAAAATATGCCTCTGATGGTCTTATATTCAAGAATTAGCATATTCTATTTGACATATTTTCATATTTGACGTTTTCACTACTAAAATCAGACATTTTCCAATTTTCAGAGATTTCAAGACTAAAGAAACTCTTCCCCAGTAGCTAACAAGGAGGTAAAGTCAGAATTTACTGACCCTCATATAATATATTGTAACTTGGCAACACATTATGGATTTGGTAAATCTGAATGGGGATATAATTCAGGATGTGCTAAAATGGGGAACACCTGCAATACTCTCAAAAAAGAAGTTACTTAAAAGAGAGTAAATGAAAAATTATCCATTTCAATACATATTGACTTTAATAATATTCAGACAGTCTTCCTAATCCCCTTACAAAAAGATTTCAACCTCTACTTATAAAGTTGTCACAGGCTGCCTACTATATAGCTCCCATCCCCAAATTCCTCTATTGAAATCCTGACGCCCAAAGTGATAGTATAAGGAGGTGGGGTCTTGGGAGGCCAGTGGAATTGGGATTTGGGCTTTTCTAAAAGAGACCCAGAGAAGAAGCTAGCCCTTCAGCCATACGAGGTTATGGTGAAAAGATGTCTATGCACCAGGAAGCAGGCCTCACTGGACAGAATCTGACCATGTGGACACCTGATCTCAGCTTCCAGCCTCCAAATTTGTTATAAACCAATTTCTCTTGTTTACAAGGCACCCAGTTTATGGCAATTCGTTACAACAGCCCAGGCTGACCAAGACACTACTTAATCTTAACTTGAACACTTCATATTAAATATTTTAAGCATTATAGGTAGTAGACAAGTTTGTCTAAAATGCAAGATACATGGAAAGAGGAAATGTATACAAATGAGTTTCTTTTATAAGCAATGCTTATCTTTACAAAACAAATATACTCTAAAATGTGTAGCTAATAATTTGTAACAATCACTGAATTCCAAAGAACTTCCCAATGTGCTCAGTGGCTAGAGTGTATACAACATATTGAGAAAATCTGAATACTTAAACTTATAGGTGTCTCCAACTCGGGACTTTTGACAATTAGTGTTTAAAAAAATAAATCCTGCACTGAAATTTTTATCAGGGTCACAGAGAAGACAAACCCTGGACTACAGTCTCAGGCTCTATTGGTTTAGGTGAGTTTGGGGGCTACTGGTAAATATACTTTTTCTCCTAAATAACGTATGACAAATTATTATCTTCATTCTCACAATGTAAAGCACATTTTGTGAACTGTAATTTTCTCTCTTGAGAGGAAAAGAGATAATAAACCAAATTTAAATAAAATAAAAACAACAAAGCTTGAATACTACCATTGAAAAGATACATTCTATGTTGAAATAATTTGAAATGCAAATGTCACAAGAAAGATCTGTCACTTCATTTTATCCCAATTTCACTGTTATTTAGTAATAATTGATTATCAGAAATACAAATAATGGAAATAAACTAGAAATGTAGTTAACTTACAATACTATAATCAAAACGTTTAAATGTTAAAATCTCAAAAATGGGATCTAGACTGGACGGTGTGGTTTAGTGGTTGACCTTTGATGTATGAAGCAGGAGGAAACAGATCTATTCCCTAACTGCAAAACCAACTCCATTCCATTAGAGTTAGAATAGGAAGGGGGGAAATCTAGGGTTTTAATTTTAATAGATTCTATCGTAGCCACAGCTGAACCAGAAGAAAATATGTAAACTTATATATATGTTTCTATAGAAAGAACAAATCTATTTTTACTGTCATGTTAAGATTTCTAAGATGTTGTGTAGAAAAAGAAAGTTGCAAAGCAATGTTTACTGCATATGCTGGTCACACACACAAACACACACACACACACACACACACACACACACACACACACCCTATAGCATCTCTATGTATACATATGTGCTGGTAAGAATGCAGAGAAAAAAGTCTAAACAAATATTCAGGAAACAGATAATATTGTTACTTCCAAGGATGTGTGTGTGTGGGAAATTGGAATGGGAAGGATCACAGGGCTTTTTGCTTCATTTTATTAAGTTTTTACAAGGAGAATGTATTCATATGTCACTTGCAAAACTAAAAAACAACATCAAGGCTAAGAAAAAAATGCTTCCAACTTCTCTGCGGACTTGAAGTCGAAAACAAATGACATAAAAAAAATTTAGCCGGTAAAAGTGACAAAATCGGAAAGAAAAAAATTTTAATGTTATCCTCAAATTAAAAACAAATGAAGAATAAAGAGAAATGACCAGATTGCACAAGAAGAAAACAAGACCCAGCTGGGTAGGTCCACTCTTAAGACGGTGGACTTTTTGGTGGGCCCGGGCGTGACCCAGAATCCCCACCAAACCTCTCCGTCCCGAACGGGGGAAGGTGGAAGGCAGCTCCCTCGGGCGCGGAGGCTGTTTTTAGAAAGCTGAACTAAGAACCAGAAAATGCCAAGTGTGCTCCGCGGGGCTGGGAACGGGAACGTGAAACCCTACACCTCCTCAAGGCGCCGAGCCGGCCGCCGGCGGCCCCGGCCCCGGCCCCGCGGCGGGCAGCCCGGCCGGAGCGGGGGCTCCGCGGCGCCCGTGCGAGCGTGACAGTCCCGGGGGCGGCCGCCGCGGCGGAGCCCACCCCCAGCCCCCCCGAGGCCGAAGGGGCGGGCGCGGCCGAAAGCAGGTCCGGGCTGCGCGGGGCCGGCGCCGGGAGGAGCCGGAGCGCCAACTTTGCTCCAAACGCTCCGGGAGGCCCGGCAAGCCGCGTCCCGAGTCCCGCTCCCGAAACCGCCCCGACCCCTTCCCGGCCGGTACCGTCCGGCCCCGCGAGAAGACCCGGCCAGGGCGGCAGCTGGCAGCACGCGAGGGGGCTTGGCCGTGGAGGGCGGGGCTCGGGGTCCGCCTGTCGGGGTCCGCCCAGCGCCCCCCGAGTCTCCGGGGCGCCCCGGCCGAGGCGCCGTCCCGCCGCCAACAGCCCCGGCCGCGGCCCCCTCCCCCACGCCTGGGCGGCACCCGGCGCTCCGCCCGCCGCCCCCGCTCACCCAGGTAGCGGCTCCGCAGCCGGGCCGGGTCCTCCAGCCCGAGGGACCTTCTCCTCACGTCCCACAACAGGTGTGGGCAGGAGCCACCCCGAGACATGGCTCCGCCGCCGGGTGGGAGGGGAGCCCACCGCGTGGGGAGGGGTCGGGGAGGGGACGTGCGATCAGCCCCCGAGCCGCACGGGCACCATCCGCGCGCCGGACCTTGCGGGCGGTCGCAGCGCCTCAGAAGGCGACGGCGGCGCCTCGGCCCCCGAAGCCCGGGCGTGCGGCGGCCGGCGCTCGCCTCATACTCCCCTCAGACTGCCCGGAACGTCCAGTTCGGCAACAGTCCCGCCCTCGGCCTCCAGCAGGGGGCGGGGGAGGAGGCGGAGGCGGCCGCGACTCCGCCCTCTCCCCCCCCCCGCTCTCGACCCCGCCCCGCAGGCTTTCTCGCGAGATGACGACCATCCCGGGGACGGAAGCCGCTAGTGTCCGGCCCCACGAGGAAAAACCGCCCTCATTCTTAGAAAAGCAGGTTCAGGTCCCTGCAGCCAAGTCCGTCCTTCTGAAAGGATAAACGAGAAAGCGGAGATGCGAAGTTTCTCGCTTGCGAGTTTCATTTCAAAGGAAACGAGAGAGAGGGAGAGAGAGAGAGAGAGAGAGAGTTGTGCGCCGTCATCTTTAGTTGGGGCACGGCAGGCCGACGAGCCCATTTTAACTATGGGCCTCCTTAATCAAAATGAGAGAGGTTCGGGGCAACTTCACTTGCCCTTCTCCAACATGGCCTCGAGGGCAGGAAGGAGAAATGGGAGGTTCGCGCTGGACCACGCCCACTCCGCGGGGCAGGCCAATCAGCGTGGGTCAGTCCGCTTGCGCACGCGCGCTGCGCCGGGCTCGGGAGGAATAGCGGAGGTAATTCTTCTGACCCCTGTTGCCATGCCTCCCCTCCTAGTGGGCGGCGGGCGGGCGGGCGGAGGGCCGACCCTGGGCGGGCCGTCGCAGAGCCTCCGCCTCCTCCGCCTTCTTCGGGCCCTGGCCCCTCGGTGATTCGCAAGGGGGACTGGCTGAGCGGCGGCGGGGCGAGCACCCGAGGGGAGTGTAGGACGCGAGGCCCCGAGGCAGGCGAAGTGACAAGCTGTCCTTCGTCGTCTGCCAGGGACGAGTACGCGGCCACCCTCCCGCCCGCCTGGCCACGATCCCTCGTCCGCAGAGATGTCAGCCGCCGGCGTCCGAGGCCTGAGGGCCACCTACCACCGGGTCCTCGACAAAGTGGAGCTCATGCTGCCTGAGAAGTTGAGGCCGCTGTACAACCACCCGGCAGGTAAGGCCCTGGAACGGCTCCCGCCGAGACCTGGCCTCCGGGGCCCGCGGACACCTCGGTTCCCGGAGGCGTCACCTACACCCTCGAGTGAATGCGTCTACTTCCTCGCCTTCCCTGCTGTTCCCTTTGCCTCGTCCACCATCTTCCACCAGCCTTGGCGACCTTTGTCGCACCCCCTCCTTTAGGCGCGACTCTGGCCCGGTCCGGCTTCTGGGCTGCAGCCCGCTCCGTCCCCCCCGGCCCCGAGCGCTGCGGCCCCGGCGGGTTTGGCGGAAAGGTCACGCCGCCTTCTCGTCCAGCTGGCAGAGCCGAGCTTCCGAGCCTGTCACTCCCCGGCCCGTGGGTCTAGCTTAAGTCTGTCCTTCGTGATACTCATGGGTGAACCACCCCTGCACCGTTTTTGCGTGGATACACCTGGATGTCACCCAGATGTGCCCCTAACTGCAGGCGTGACCTTGGGTGAAACCCTGGGTCTTGTGGTTTTTATAAAATGGTCAAGGTGAGAGTTAAATATAACATGCATGTTTGTTCTTTCATGCTCAGTAAATGTTTGCGTGCTCTCTTGCCCTGTCGGAACACAGTGCTCTTGCTGTTGAAAAAATATATATATTTCTTTAGGAAACGGAAACGGGAAGATCCAAGTCCTTCCCACTCTGTATGTATGAGCCGGAATTCTCTGTTCAGTGGGCAGTAATAATACTTAGTTGTCTGGGAACGAAAAGCAGATCTCTTTCAAACCTAAGAGTTTGCAAAGGAGAAAAATCTGCTATAAACTGAAATATTGAAGTGCAACTCTCAAAGGAGCCCTTTTAGCTGACTCTTCTCTGCACTTGGCCTCATTAGAAGTGTTGGCTACCCCTTTTTAAGGTGACTCTCTGGAATTCGACCTGGCTATCACTAAATCTGATTTCCAGTTTGATAATGGAATGAACTGTATTTGGGGATTATACTGAGTATAATGTTGTTTACTGCAGTACATATTGAACCCATTATGAAATTGATCTTTCAAAAAGAGGTGTTTATTGCTGAAGTTTATTTAGTTTGCCTTTTAGTTCTTTTAATACTCAGATGTTTAGAATTGTGCTGTATTTTGTGCTAAGATATCAGGCGGGAGGTTGGGCAATGCTTCTGTAATAATCTGGGCTTTAGAGTGAACTGAATTCCATAGTCAATTCTGACCCTTTCAGCTTTGTGTCTGGGCTAGGACAAGGACAAGGTAGAGCAGGAGCAATTTTAAACCCATAATAACAGGTCGTTTTATAGTGATCTTTTCCAAGGCCTTGGCTTTAACCATCCACCTTCCTTGCTTATAATACTTTATTCAACTCTCAGAATGAAAAGGAGTACCTTTCATTTGTAGATTGTACATTTCACCTGGGTATTCCTGAATTAGATGAGTTGTCATCTCTTGTTTGTACAGTGGAAGGAGCATAAGCTCAGAAGCCGGACAGGCCAGGTTTGAATTTTAACTTCGTGACCTTGGCCTCAAGTCCCCAAAGCCTGATTTTTCTAATTTATAAAATAGGGAAAATAATTACCACCATTTAAGGATTATTATGAAAATTAAATGACAGTGTCAATAAAACATGTAGCAGAGTGTTTGCACTTAGACTTTGAAGGGATGTTTGTTCTGTCCCTCCTATGCTTTTAACCAGTAGGCAGGGAAAGAATACCTATCACTGCAAAATGATTTGATTAAAAAGTAGGCACACCAATGTAAGAATGGAGAAGTATGAAAAACATAACTGTTGGTATAGTACTATTGAATAAAATCTTAGAAAGCACTGATTATGTCCCAAGAGTTACAAGATTGAATCTTCAAGCTTTTTTGTACTGTTTTGCAAAACAGTATGTTATTGAATCATTCCCATTTAAGTATTAAGCCTTCAGTTAGAACTTTATTTTTCACATTGGGACTTACTGAGCACCTCAGCTCAATATGCCTGTTTGTAATGTTACTTACTGGTGCTCTGTTACAAGAAGAGTCTTTTCTTAGGGAGAAAACCATGCATACAATAAATGACGTAGTTTCTTGGTGGAATTAATTTGTTTGTTCTTATTTTTTGTTAATCCTTACCCTAGAATATTTTCCCATTGATTTTTAGAGAGCCGATGGGAAAGACAGCGAGAGAGAGAAATACCAATGTGAGAGATACACATCGATTGGATGCCTCCTAGACAGGTCCTAACCAGGGCTAGGGATCTAGCCAGCAACTGAGGTATGTGCCCTTGACCAGAATTGAACCTGGGACCTTTCAGTTTGAGAGCTAATGCTCTATCCACTGAGCCAAACCGGCTAGGGCTAGAATTTATATATTTCATTAACAGTGATTCCTTTCAGATGAGGAAATTAGGAGGTAAATTTATGTCATTTTATTAACTGGTTCATCAAAGTTCATCAAGGCAGCTAGATTGGTTAATTTGTTGGAAAATGTATGTCACAGATTTGGTGTGATATTCTCTTGCAGAGTTTCTCAAATTCTATGAAAATTTGAACTCTGAAAAAATTTCACTTTAAAAATCAGACAAACCCATAACAACACAAAAGAAAGTGACCATTATATTATCCTCTGCATTTTCTGTAATGCCTGAAAATAATTTATATTTTTAAATGTGTATATACTTTTTGTATACTTGTTTGATATTTTCAGATTGTCCCCATTTGAGCCCTTTTTTAACTTCCAAGAATGGACTTCTATGAAACAAGATGAAAATATATGAATTGTTACTTAACTCTTTGTCTAAAAGAATGTATGTTTATATCTAATGGGGACATATTTCCCTCATTTTGGACTCCAAATTAAACATATGAGATTATTTTTATTCAGTATATTTGACCTGATAACGTTTTTTTCATGCCTCATAATGAATATTAGCTATGTACCCTATTAGTTTACAGTTCTGCCTATCTTGATCTTAAGGTAATATAATCATTTCAGGCATCATAATTATTAATATTTAATTATCTCATATTTTTAATGAATTGCTGTGTTTTAATGAACAGCTGAGAGAATATTTGTGTCATTCTGTAGACTATAAACCTGGTTTTCCCGGTTCTAGAATGACACTCAGATCTAATGTGACATTGTGTTGTCACTGTATGAGCATATCTATTTTTAAATGTTTTGTTTTATCAAAACTTTGCTTTAGAAATTTGAAGTAAGTTGGAATCTTTTCTCATTATCATGTCCACTATTGGTTAATTGCTTTTATCAGGAAGACAACCTCTATACTTGAATTCTTACACGTTTAAGTTTATTTGGCTTATTTACTCTTAAGGTAGAAAATGTTAGATAAGATAAATTGGAAGAGTGAGCTAAAATTAGTTTTCTTTGAAATTTTTGTATGATCACAAAGAGTGATAGCCATATTCCCTTCTTTTAAACAATGAAGAAAACACTACTCATTTGCATTTATAGATATACAACTCTGATTTTTATTTGCTACTGATATTTTAAATTCATACTTATGTAGGGTTTGTTGTTAAACTAATGTAGGGTTTGTTGTGTAGTAAAATATTCATACCGCTCCTAGTCCAGGCTCTAGTAACTGTAGTCATATTTGAAGTTTTTTTGTTTGGTTTGGTTAGCGGGACAGGGGCAGTTAGTTAATAAGACTGTCACCTAGCTCGGAGCACTTATTAGTTTCCAGAAAAACCTACTGAAAAGCCTGCTGGTTCATTAACCCTGAAGTATCAATCACTTAAGCTGGTCAAGAAGCAGACTCTAGAGGCTTTGCTCAGGAAAGCACAAGAGGAAACATGAGTTTTGAAAATAGAAAGAGGTGTGTCTGCTGAAAAACTCAAAGCCAGAGACTAAAACATGGGCTGAATTACCCTTAGAGATGAAGCCAGGCTTCATGCAGGGATAAAAGATGAACCTAGTCATTGATCCTGCCTATGACCAGAGACTTTGTATAGACAAAGAGAAATGAACCAGTGTGAGGTTAGGAATCCCAGAAGCTCAAGCTAAACAAAATAACCAGACAGTTTGCAAGACTGTCTTGTCAGTACATCATGGCATCAGACTCATGGAAAGCATTCTCAGGAGCCAGATCGGGGAGTGGCATGGTTTAAGAGGGAGTAAAAGTCTAAAGCAACCCTGATGTAAACGGATCCTGATGTCCCTGAAGATGAGTAAATATCAAATTCTAGCCTTTGGGATGAAACATCGGCAAGGCAAATCTGTAAATTCCCCAACTTGAAGTTATCCATGAGTGAACAAACATTAAGTTCTATGTTTTCCAAAACCATCTCCGTTACACTTTACTTTCTTTTTAACAGGTCACAAAAATACAAATAATTGATGGGGAGATCAAAAGAACTTGTATGAAAGATTGATATTGTGGTGACTTTTTAAAGTTAGCTTATGAACAAAATATGTAGAAAACAGTAAAAGATTAAAAATGGAAAAAATGATTAGAAATAGATTGATAAATCTTTAGGTTTTTGAAATGTGATAGCTATTAAAAGACATATAGAATGGTTGAATAATTGATTTATTCCTAAATTTTTTGTTGTTGTTGTTGTTTCAGGTCCTAGAACAGTTTTTTTCTGGGCTCCAATTATGAAATGGGTAAGTTTTGAGTTTTTTATAGAAGCTACTGAAAAAAATTATCTGATAACTTACTAATTTGAAGCAACTTTTATGAAGGATGCACTTTGAAATGTTCATGGGATGCCTCTAAATGATGTCATGCCAAGATTCTCAGATGTATCGTTTTCACTAGTTTTTTTCTGAACTCCATTGATCAGGAGACCTGGGAACATATTGTTATCAAAACACAATTGTGGCCCTAACCGGTTTGGTTCAGTGGATAGAGCATTGGCCTGCGGACTGAAGGGTCCCAGGTGTGATTCCTGTCAAGAGCATATACCTTGGTTGTGGGCACATCCTCATAGGGGTTTGCAGGAGGCAGCTGATCAATGTTTCTCTCTCATTGATGTTTCTAACTCTATCCCTCTTCTATCCTCTGTAAAAAATCAATAAAATGTATTTTTTTAAAAAGAAAAAAACAAACATAATTGTGAGCCCTTGAAACATGAAACTTCATTCTAAAATTTTATGACTAAGAAAAACATTAAACTAGTTAGAACCCTCCTCCCTAAATTAACTGTTACTGTTAATTTAGTATGAGAATTAAAGATACACCAATACAGAAACAAGGAAAGGGGGTCTCAAAAAGTAGTGGGGTTTAGCCAAGGATGTATGTTAACATTTGGTTAGTGATAGAGTCTAGGACTTCTGACTCCAGAGGCTGCTGTCAACAATGGTGGACAAAATGTCTGTTCCAGTCCCTGCTTTCAGTTCCTTTGGGTTATACTAGAAGTGGGATTGTTGGATCATATGGTAATTCTATATTTAATATTTTTAAAAATACATTTTTATTGATTTTTACAGATTGAAGAAGGGAGAGGGATAGAGAGATAGAAACATTAATGACTATTAATTGGATGCCTCCTGCATGGCCCCCACTGGGAATTGAACCCACAACCCAGGCATGTTCCCTGACCGGGAATCGAACCAGCAACCTCTTAGTTCCTGGGTGGACACTCAACTGCTGAGCCACACCAGCAGAGCTATATTTAAATTTTGAGGAATGCCATTTTACATACTCAGCTATAAAATAGCAAGATTAGATGAGTGGTTGGGAGCTGTATTTTAGAGAGAACTAGAGAGCAGTTGTTTTTTATACTTATATATTGAGAAAAGATCCCATTAGTTTTTTTTTTTAAGTTTCCTTATATGACCTTTGATGATTATGCTCACACTCTAAGCATTCAAATATAGTGATATGCCTCCAAAAAACCTAGACTAATGGAAGGTATGTTATTGTTTCCTTCTTCTCCTCTTCCTACTACACTTAAAATTATATACTAAAACATATCTATAAAGTGGAATGATTAATGAAGTATTGTTTCTACATTATTAAAAGAATAAGAATGATTTAATCTATTTACCATAAATTTGGGGTCCTCTTTGACCTCAAATTTGCCACAATTTGGGAGTTTATTTATTTTATTAATAGCTTTTGTGTTTCTTTGATCTGTTCCACCAGTGTTTTTGAAACACTGACAGAATCAGATACGCCTGAGTGCCTTCTGTCTCCTTTAAAAACATCTATTTTAAGTTCGTGTTGAAATCAACATAGTCTCCTGATGACTGAATAGCAATAGGAACTTCTGTGTCTTGTTCGCTGGTGCAGAGACTTCTTTTGCTGGTTATTTACTTTATGTACAATGTGTGTTCTTCTCCCAGAGCATTTGGTAATTAATCTATATATGACATAAAAATTGCTGCTGCCAGCCATATGTGTTCTGTCCAAAGAATTTCAGACTATTCTTCTTCAAACATTTAACTGTGGTGGTGACCTTAGCCACTTTAATTGAAACCAAATAATTAATCATAAAGATTATACCTTAAATATTTTATTTTAACTCAAATTATGTAAATATGTATTCATTTTTGAATCATCTAAAATAAGGCCAAAGCTTTTATTTATGTACTAAAGGCCCAGTGCACAAAATTTATGCACGGGAGCGGAGGGACTGTCCCTCAGCCCAACCTGCACCCTCTCCTTTCTGAGACCCCTTAAAGGATGTCTGACTGCCTGTTTAGGCCCGATCCCAGTGGGTCAGACATCCCTTTCACAATCCAGGACTGCTGACTCCCAACTACTTGCCTGTCTGCCTGCCTTCCTGATTGCCCCTAACCGCTTCTGCTTGCCAGCCTGATCACCTCCTAACCACTCCCCTACCAGCCTGATTGATGCCTAACTGCTCTCCTGCCAGCCTGCTTGCTCCTAACTGCCCTCCCCTGCAGGCCTGAGTCCCACCCAGCTGCTCTCCACTGCAGGCCTGAGTCCCACCCAGCTGCTCTCCACTGCAGGCCTGGGTCCCCCTGAACTTCCCTTCCCTACAGGCCTGGTCACCCCCAACTTCCCTCCTCTGCTTGCATGGTTACTCCTAACTGTCCTCTCCTGCAGCCTTGATTGCCCCAGCTGCCCTCCCTTGCAGGCCTGGTTCCTTCCAACTGCCCTCCCCTGCTGGCCATCTTGTAGTGGCCATCTTGTGTCCACATGGGGGCAGCCATCTTTGACCACATGGTGGCAGCCGTCTTGTGTGTTGGAGTGATGGTCAACTTGCATATTACTCTTTTATTAGATAGGATGGAGGCCTGGTGCCCGGGTGGAGGCCAGCTGGTTTGTCCTGAAGGGTGTCCCAGATCAGGGTGGGGGTTCCCTTGGGGCGTGGGGCGGCCTGGGAGAGGGGCTTGTGGTTTTTATGCCAACCACCATCCCTCCCCCCCTCCAGCGACTCAAGCGGAGGCCCTGGTATCTGGGATATATTTACCTTCTACAATTGAAACTTTGTAGCCTGGAGCAGAGCCAAGCCTCCTGCTTGCTCCATGGTGAAAGCCATTTCTGTTGCTATTTATTTATCTTCTATAATTGAAACTTTGTAGCCTTGAATGGAGACCTCTATCTGCCAGGATGTGCGGAAAGCTTGGCTTCCTCCATTGGCCAAGGGGACACAAATCTCCCTCCTGTTCTCTCAGTGGTCGCAGCCATCTTGGTTGGGGTTAATTTGCGTGCTCGCTTCTTGATTGGCTGGTGGGCATGGCTTGTGTGTGTAGCAGAGTGATGGTTAATTTGCATATTACTCTTTTATTAGATAGGATATATAATAAAAGGAAGGAAGGAGAGAGAGAGAAAGAGGAAAGGAAGAAAGTTCGTTTTATGCTATCTACTAGATGCCCAGTGTATGAATTCATGCAACAGTGGGGTCCCTTGGTCTGGCCACAGGATTGGGCTGAAACTGGCTCTCCAACATCCCCTGAGGAGTCCCGGATTGCTAGAGGGCACAGGCCAGGCCAAGGCCCCCACCAGTGCATTATCGGGGCCAGGGAGGGTCATGGGAATTTGGCCAGCTGGGGAGGGACTGCAGAAGGGCTTCAGGGCGTGTCAAGCCCTTCTTGCTTGGTCCCGATTGGCTGGACCCCAGCAGCAAGTTAACCTACCAGTTGGAGTGTCTGCTCCCTGGTGGTTAATGCATGTCATAGCGATTGGTCGACTGGCCAACTATCTGTCCATGGTGTTCAGTGCATGTCACAGTGAGTGGTTGAGCAGCCTTAGCATATCATTAGCATATTATACTTTGTTTGGTTGAATGGACAACTGGACACTTAGTGTATTAGGCTTTTATTATATAGGATGAGCATCCTACCTAATGGAGATAATCAAATGCCTGAAATCACTACAAATCGGAGCTTCAGACATTTGAAAAACATTTTTAAATTTGTTTACTGATGCCAAGCTTTCTGTATTAGGAATTTAAAATACATTATCTCATATTTAATCTTCACCAAAAAATATCAGAGAAATAAATAGAATCAACATTTTTCAGAGATGGGTACTGTGGTTCAGAGAACTGGCTGCACATGTTGTTGTAGAGGCAGGCTCAGGATTGGAAGCTCCAGGTCTGTTTGACTCAAGTCTATGCTCTTAGACACTAACATGACTGCCTTCACACAAGTCACTGTGGATCTAGGTATGGTCAGGGAGTATTTCATATAATCTTGTGGTATACTCTAAGCACTCTCTGAATATACAGTTTTATTATCTGAATGAACAAAGTTCAGAATAAAGAGGAAAAGGAACATGGACCTTCTGCCCTTGATCCTAAGACTATATGAGTGGGTAATTCCATCAAAGACAGTGTCAAAAACACAGCAGAGACAAAATGACCAGCTGTCCTCTGACATTAAAGAAAAACTGTCTAACCAGGACACTAAAATTCTAACAGAGCTTTGATGATACTTGCACTTAAAAAAAAAAAAAAAAAGAGAATAACATTGACAAAAAAACGAAAGGAGGAATCTATACAAATTACCTTAGTTTTCAGGCATCCTCCATGTCAGTGGTTCCTGACATGTATAAAGAATATATAAATTCATATGTGAAAAAAGTGTCATTTGTGGAACAAATATATATATATATATATATATATATATATATATATATATATATATATATATATACACACACACACACACACACACACACACACACACAACACACACACACATTACTGATTTTCAAATATATCAGGTTTCTTAATCTGATTAACAAAATACAGATTAATTGTGTAAGTATTCCGAATTCACTGTAGCTTTTTTCATGATATACATTTTCTTAAGGCATGTATACTAAAATTACCGCTATTATAATGTGGAGATCTCGGAAGCAGTTATGCGTTTTATTTAAAGTGAAGAACCATTACTTGACACTTAGGATGCTTTTTCCTTTTTCTGTGTATTTCAGGGGTTGGTGTGTGCTGGATTGGCTGACATGGCCAGACCTGCAGAAAAACTCAGCACAGCTCAGTCTGCTGTTTTGATGGCTACAGGTAAATTAAAGAATACCCTTCATGTTCCGTATGGACATTCAATATTTGTATATTGTTTTACCTCACAATTTAATGTTTAGAACACATTACACATACAGATACACACACACACACACACACACACACACACACACACACAAAGGAATTCAGGGCTCATCTCTAGGAAGTTATTGGATGGAGAAGGCAGAGGAGGGTTGCAGTGGGTTTTTATTTTTCATGGGTTTTGTCATCAGCATAATTTCATGAGTCAGAAAAACATTTCATTAAATATTCACTTCCCCTATAAAGATTGCCTCAATTTGATGTAAGAACTGAGTATTTTATGTAATAATGAATTATAGCAGCTTAATAAAGACTTAGAATATAGTTTTTTTATCCCCTGTCCTATATTATGTTGTCATAGTCTTATTTAGAAATATTTTACTATAATATTAAATATTCAGGTAAGTTATTGCAACAGTACCTATACTTAAAAAAATATATATATATATATTTTGTTTCAACAGGGCTTATTTGGTCAAGATACTCACTTGTAATTATTCCAAAAAACTGGAGTCTGTTTGCTGTTAACTTCTTCGTCGGGGCAGCAGGAGCCTCTCAGCTCTTTCGTATTTGGAGGTAAGCCCACCGAGGGTATAAAACATGTGTCTCTGAAGCCCCACAGGTGGCAGTACTTTTTTTTTTTTTTGTAAAATTCATGTATAATACTAAGATGGGATGTGTATGAAGCAAAAATCTAGCACTTCTAGAAAAGTTGAGTTTTAAGTTAAAAAGTGTTAAGTAGTATGTTACCTAGGTTTTAAATTTGTATATTATCTGGATGTATAGCTCTTTCATAGAATCTATTTCATTAAGATAACATATATACTTTATGATATACTAAGTAGTTTTCTGAATGAACTCTTGATTACATATAATAAAGCAGAACTGAAACATAGTTATGTAGTATTGGAAATGATGTTTCCAGTGAGGCTTTTGGTTTCATTAGAAAATGTTCCATGAGTTTGGAAATTTTTCAAACTGTGTACTCCATCAATAACATTGGTCACTTGTTAAATAACATTATGATATTTAACATAATGTTATTTAAAACATTATGTTATTTAAAATAATGTTAAATAACATTAATATTCTGCAGTGAGCTCATTCGAGATGAAGACTCTGGCTTTGTTTGGACCATAGAACCTTTCTAAATTACAAAACACTGTCATGAATAATAGTTTTCTTTAGTAAAAATAAATAAATAAATAAATAAATAAATAAATAAATTGAATGATCTCAGTAAGGAGAAACATCTATAATAATAAAAGCCTAAGTGACCATCGCAACTGAATGGATGACCAAACAGGCTGCGTGGGGCAACCAGGCCAGCAGGGGAGTTAGTGAGGGGCAGCCAAACAACTGAGCAACAGGCTCTGTGGGGGTGACCATGTTGGCAGGGGGTTAGTGAGAGGCGACCAAATATCTGAGCAGCAGGCTTTGTGGAGCCACCAGGCCTGCAGGGGGGGCAGTTGGGGGCAACCAGGCTGGTGGGAGGGGCAGGGGGGCAGTAAGGGCCAACCAGGCCAGCTGGGGGGTGTGGGGCAATTGGGGGCGACCAGGACAGCAGGGAGGGTAGTTAGGGATGATCAGGCAGGCAGGCAGGTGAGCAGTTAAGAGCCAGTGCTCCTGGATTGTGAGAGGGATATCCAACTGCTGGTTTAGGCCTGATCCTCAGGTTATCCCCCAAGTGGTCCTAGATTAGAGAGGGTGCAGGCTGGGCTGAGGGAACCCCTCTCCGGGCATGAATTTCATGCACCGGGCCTCTAGTTAAGTTATAATTTACATTCCTTTCAGAAGGCATTCTATTCCATGGAGTATAGTACATTTAATTCATCTTTAACACCCCTAGCTTAATGATTAACTATAATTTAATCATTTTATTATCATCAAGCATATAATGGATAGGTGAATAAACAACTTATTACAGAGTATGCCTCACAATATTTTTAAGATTTATTTAATATAAACTTTAATTTGTATAGTGATTTTATTTATATTTTTCTCATATACCATTCCATTTTAACATTAACTCATGATAGATAGTAGAGCTAAGATAATGCTAAGTGCCTTATTATTTTTAATATTAGAAGTTAAAATACAGTTTAACAAGAATTTTTGGCACCTTTTGGTACAATACAGATTGAGAGATTTCGTTAGAGATGCAGATGTTGGCTCTGGAGCATTTAGGAAAATGCTATCGAATATTTGCATTGGGCCTTTTGAGAGACCTGGGAGGTATGCTTAGCGTCATAGAGTAAGTTCCTTCCTATGCGTGTCCTGTCCTCTACTCTGAGTCAGTGATGCAGTCCACACTTTTTGTCATGCTCTTGTATAATTTAAGAATGAAAATAGTCATTAAAATAATACTTCTGTACAGGAAACTGCATATCAGTTAAGTTATTAAAACTTTCTGGCAGCTGGAAGTCAGATGCAAATAGTCCTTTTTCTTCCCGCCTCCAGAAGATTGTATTTACAACTAGATAGCCTCTCAACTAGTGAGAGGGAAGAGATGGAATATGCTTCTCATTCCCTTCTTATTGTATACTTTTATGATTCATGATTATTTTTCTTTCTGTTTTCTCCATAGATATAATCAAGAACTAAAAGCTAGCGCAAACAAATAAAAGAGTTCCTGATCATCCCAACAAACTAGATGTAGCCATACCACTGGGACCTAGTTTGATTTATTATTTGTTATTGGTAAGATGATGCTCTCTATGCTAATAATTGGAACGCATTTTAAAAATCTAACTTAAATAGGAGCTAGTGCTCAATTCAGCAGAAAAATAAAGCAAATTTTTAATAACAGTGACTCTCTCTACATATGACTTATCTATAGGTATTAGTAACATTTTTTTTCTACTCTTTTCCCGTAATAAATCGTACTTGCTCATTCATACCTCTGGTCTCTTCCTGTTCTAGTTCACCAAAGTATGTGTGTTTAAGAGTGCACACGTTCAAGCAAGTTGAAAGATAGTTGAAAGGTCAAGTAATCTATTTTCAGTGAAGGATGGTGAATTAGCTAAAAGTGGAAGTAAATAGAGTTAAAGAGGTTGAGAAATGGGTAGAATGGCTAGCAAAATGACTTAAAACTATTTTAAGATATTTTAACTTGAAAAATCTTGAAAAATTATATTTTGTGTATTGTGTGAAATTATTTTAGAGCTACAAGAGTAATGAAGGATTTCTAAATGTTAGGCTTTCTGTAAATGCCTGGGACCTTCATCCCCATTATGAGGAAAGACTGGGTATAGATTGCTGCATACTAGAAATAATTAACAGTCTATTGGATCTGAGCTCCAATTTGGCGTATGGAGCTTTTTTCTAAAAAAAAAAAAAAAAAAGCTAGTCCTAGTTAGAACTGCCATTAGTAGAATCAGCAAGCAAATTATTTCTAAATATGAAGATGCAAATAGAAAAAGAACTTGAATAATAATATACTATAACAATCAAAATTTGGCAATTAGCCATTGAAGACCCTGCACTTTTTCATATATCCCTTCACTGTGGTCCATCTTTGAGAAGGAATTTGACATTGGCACTGTTTCCTTTTTATAAGCTACACTGTTAAATTTGTTTGGCATGTGTGTGTGTTTCCTAGAGTTAAGCATTTAGGGAAAACATCTATTATGAAATATGGCATAGATGCACAAAAATAATTAAAATATATTTTGAAATGGTGTTTCAGTTTTTCTTTTTTTATTTAATCCGGCTTTATGGGTTCCCACTGGTCAGTCAAATTACTTGTAGCATTTAGATGCAGTCATAGGCCATCCTCTTGGTTCTCAGAAGTTCCACTGATGGACAAATCATCTCATATTTCCTTCCCCAAACTCTCATCCATCTATTATTGATCCCTACAAATTAGATGACTAATTAGTGTCCAGTCAAAAACTCGCACTGCCACTTGGAACACAGTGGTCAGTTTCACAGCTATTTTAAAAACCTTAGGAAGAAGAATTGATAGACTAGAAGTTCTTCCTACCAAAATAAGTAGTGTACGCTGTAAAAATACCTTTCGTAATGGTACAGAGCACTTGATCAGACCAGTTGAGTTGAATTCTATATCAGAATGCTCTTCTGAGCCCTTGCTGGTGACTTTATGAGATGTTTTCTCAGTGTGAGTCTGACAGGCCTGGGTTTCAGCCAGGTCTTCCCCACTTAAACAGACTTTGGTCTGAGCTTTAGTCTCTTCAAGAATCAAATGGGGATAATAGTACTTACTGTATAGGATTGTTTTCTAGATGAATCAAGATAAAGTTTTAACCCAGTTCCTGGGCCAGATGGGTGTTAAATAGAAAGTTTCAGAAAATAATAGGTTTATTGATTGAAGATCAACTTGAAAAGAACTTCGTTACACAAAGGAATTTTTAATGTAGCTGCAAATATATATATCGTGTGAACCTATTTGTACACCTTCTGAGGTAATAACTGTTGGAACTCTTGAAACTTTCATGGGTTCAAGCAGAAAACAAGTCTTTGGGACGGGGGACAGAGGTGGGTGGAGAAGGCTCAATAGGAGGTAGATTCTTTCCCTCGTCTTTGTGGTTAGGCATTGCTCTCAAGGAAACATTATTCCTAAGTACGTCTGCTGTTTCTCCATGATGAACAGATTTTTTTTCTGTTGCTAAAATGATGGTGAAAAGTTGAATCTTAACAGGACTGACCTCAAAGCCCATGTTCCTCTCTGTAAAGCAAAACTGTCGCTATAGGAGTTTGCTTATACAGTGACAGAAATAGAAAGCACTGGTACTTACTCAGACTGGCTTCGCCCCTCAGGAGATGTGAGACCAGTTATGTTAAGACTGTTTTCCACCAGAAAATTCATTTGAGAAACAATTAAACGAGCCCATGTTTCCTTCCCTTAAATCAACTGTGTTTTACAACATTTTGAAATACAGTAAATTTAAATACAAGGTTGGGCTTTATTTAAGAATGTATGCTTGCTTTTCCAGTTCAGTGTTTCTAAATTCTAGTTTTACATGTGTCAGTAAGTGTAATTGTAGTTGTGCTATACATATGAACTGTTAGAAAGTCAAACTATAATTTTAGCTGTTAGGAAATATGTCTTAAGCATTTCGCCAGAGTCACATTGGGTTAAGAAACTCCATTCCAGTGCCACATGAGACTGCCGATTCTCTTAGGGGGTGAAGTGGTTAAAAGTATCCACATGACCAGTCAGAAAGGATAAGTCAGAAATTTACCACACAAAAGCCTCTGGAAATAAGTACTGAATGCACTGTAACTGGTAAGTTCCATTGGCCTGGTAAAAGCCATGATCATTATTGACCAAAACGTCACGTTTGCTTATTCAGGAGAGACTCGCCTTTATGATGGTCACCTACCAACTGTTGCCTCATTTCACTGACCTTTAACCCACATGTCTAGACCGGAGAACCTGAGAGCTAGGCCAGGTCTGGGCACTAGCCCCCTGGGCTGTCGGGGGAGGGGGAAGCAGGGCAGTGCCAGCCAATCAGAAGCATAGTTGGTGCCCATGAAACAATGAGGTTCTGATGAGGGTGTGGCCAGGAAAACGGCTTTTAGACAAAACTGTCATTTTACTGGTCAGCTGTCGACAGACATGGCACTTCCGCAGACTTCAGAGTAATGCCACCCAGCCCCTTTCCTGGCTTCTACTCTCCTGAAAGATCTAGTCCCTAATCTAAGCTCCGGCTTTCCTCAGCCTCGAAGAAGGAGGAGGTATGTAGATGTGGGAGTCTCGCAGGAAGGCTGGCTAGGGGTGACCCTCTGGGAAGATGACAGGTGTTGGAGCTGAAAATGGGAAGACCTTGGGCTAGGAGTCAAGGTTCCACTTCTGTCTGTCTTGCGTGAAGTTAGAAGCTTGAGGGCATATGTGTTGCCTGTGCTGTTTATTCTGGATTTGCCATTGTTCTGACATGTCTTCACCTACTTTTCATGTGATATTCCCCTCATCAGTCATCAAATGGCAAACGCCTACCCTGTGAAGGGCGCTAGGAAGATGCTGTAGAGGAAACACAGGTGTAGAACCCAATCTGTACAAAAGAAGTTTACAACACAGAGGAAGACAGATGCATAGACAATTAAGGATATTTAAATAGAAAATAAGGTGCATGAATTTATAGCTAAGTGCCTAAGACCTCAGAGGAAAAGCTGTGTTGGCTGGTCTGGTGAGGTTTCTTGAGCAGTAAGATGATTCCTTAAGGTCAACTCCTTTTTTTGGACTCGTAAAACTTTATTTTACATATTAATGTAAAATTGGATGAAACTGAAATCTGTTAGAAATTTCTAGAAGAGTTATTTACAGAAACAATAATGGATATAATTGATCTTCTTTCAGGATCCTCATTCTTAGGTGCATCCATGTTTTCTCAGATCCCATTCTGTTCACGCTCTGTCCTTGACTGTGAATGAGTTGGCCAAATGATTGATGAGGGTACCATCAACATGCTCTAAAATTAAATATGTATTGTCTCTGGGTCATAAAGATCCCCAAAGTGTCATAAAACATACAAATGGGATGTAGCATGGTACAGTAGAAAGCACATAGATTTCCAAATCTGAAGACCTAGCTTCCAACCGTGTGACCTAATGGTTCTGAGCTTCAGGGTCTGCGTCTATGGGATGGAGAGATAGCCATTCAGCCAGAGTAGGCTGCCTCAGTGCTGTTTTGAGGATTAAATAAGACAAACTATGTAAAATGCTTCACACAAAAAGGTCTTAATAAATTACAATTACCACATGGAATGTGCCACATCACTATTTTCTGATGTAGACTTTAAAGCAGAAGAGTATTTTCTAAAATAGAAAACTTCTATTATCTTATGCGTGTTCTTAGGAAAAACTCTCAGATACTCAGTTTAGAGGTCTTTGCCTCTTCTGCCCATCTTATCTAATAAAAAAATAATATGCAAATTGACCATACTTCTGCTATCCCCACAAACCACACCCACCAGCCAGTCAGAGTGAGTATGTAAATAAACCCAACCAAGATGGTTGCAGCCACAGAGAGCAAGAAGGAGGATTGGGTTTACCAGGCAATGGAGGAAGCCAAGCTTTCTACCTGCCCTAGCCGGCCTAAGCCTCCACTCAAGGCTACAAAGTTTCAATTATAGAAAGTAAACAAATCCAAATAGGAATGGCGGCAGCCACGGAGCAAGCAGGAGGCTTGGCTCCACTTCAGGCTACAAAGTTTCAATTGTAGAAGGTAAATAAATTCCAGATACCAGGTCCTCCGCTTGGGTCACCAGGGGGCATGGCTGGCCTGCAAACCACCACAGGCCCCTTGCTCAAGCCGCCCATGCCCCAAGGGAACCCCCACCCTGATCCGGGACACCCATCAGGGCAAACCAGCTGGCCCCCATCCGTGTACCAGGCCTCTATCCTATCTAATAAAAGAGTAATATGCAGATTAACCATCACTCCAACACACAAGATGGCTGCCCCCATGTGGTCAAAGGTCCTGCCCCATGTGGACACAGATGGCTGCCACAAGATGGCCAGCAGGGGAGGGCATTTGGGAGGCACCAGGCCTGCAAGGGAGGGCAGTTGGGGGTGACCAAGTCAGTGGAGGAGGAAAGTTGGGGGCAAACAGGCTGGCATGAGAGTGGTTAGGGGTTGATCAGGCTGTCAGGCAGAAGCAGTT